GATTGAACCAGGCACAGCTGATGCCGAGAAGAATGATATGGCAACTGCACTGTTGTTTCAATCAATTCCAGAAAATCTGATATTGCAAGTAGGCAATGAGAAGACTGCGAAGGATCTGTGGGATGCAATCAAAACTCGTCACTTGGGGGCTGAGAGGGTTAGAGAAGCTCGTCTCCAAACCCTAAATGCGGAATTTGATAATTTGAAGATGCATTATTCAGAGTCAATTGATGAATTTGCTGAGAAGTTATCAAGTTTGGCCTCAAAATCCGTAGCCCTTGGAGAAGAGATCGAAGAGAAAAAGATGGTAAAGAAGTTTCTAAAGTCTCTTCCTCGTTCGAAATACATTCATATAGTCGCCTCGTTGGAACAAGTTCTAGATTTGAATAAACTAGGATTTCAAGAAACCATAGGCCGGTTGAAAGCTTACGAAGAGCGAATCAAGGAAGAAGATATAGAAACACAGAGTAAACTATTATTCTCCAATGGTGAAAGCTCTCATTCTCAAAGGGGAGAAAACGGATCGAGAGGACAAAGCCGATGCAACCAAGGTCGAGGAAGAGACCAAGACCAGGATGATGATGACCAAGATGGAAGTCAATACCGAGATGGTCACGATCATGGGTCAAAACGAACAGGTGAAAGAAGAACCAATGATCGTCAGAAGGGAAGAAAGGATAGATCAAAGGTTCAGTGTTTTCGATGTGATAAATTCGGTCACTTTGCATCAGTGTGCCCGGAGCATACGAAGAAACAAGAGGAAGCTAATTTAGCTGAAATTGATGTTCTGGATCCATCTTTGTTCATGATGAGATGTGATCAAGAGAATGTCTTTCTAAATGAAGAAGGGGTGATTCCGAAGCGTTTCGAGGTTGAACCAAAGGAGAAAGATATTTGGTATCTCGACAACGGAGCATCGAATCACATGACCGGTAATCAAGTTTACTTCTTTGAACTTAATGAACGTGTCACGGGAAAGGTGAAGTTTGGAGATGGATCTTGTATTGACATACGAGGAAAGGGTTCTGTATTACTTGAAGGGAAAACAGGGGAGCATCGCTTGTTGACCGATGTGTACTACATACCCAGCCTACAAAGCAACATCATAAGCCTTGGTCAAGCAACGGAAGGTGGATGCGACATTCACATGAAGTATGATTTGCTAACCATTCATGATGACACGGGGAAGCTTATGATGAAGGTGACAAGGACCAAGAATCGTTAGTACAAGATCAATCTTAAGATAACAAGTCCCAGTACACAAGTTAGCATGATTGGAATGAAGAATTTTGTGGGTAGGGATCTACAAAGAGTTGATCAACTGAAAGAAGGTACGCGAAGTACGAGTCAGAATCTTCGCGGAGATCCATGTTTAATGGAGAAACCCAAAATTCAAAGTGTTTGTTCAAGAGTTTAAAGGAGATGTCAAGAAAAGGATTCTAACCCAAGGAAGGACGTGTAATGATCGCAAGGAGCAAGTGTTTGTTCAAGCTAAGTGGAGCCCGAAGAACACTGCAAGGGATCATGAAGAGCCTCGGGAGAATCAAGATAAAGAAGACATGCTTGGAGTTGAAGATCACCCGCAATCCAACTCGAAAATTAGGGGGGTGATTGTTGACTAATTATCGAGTAGGATTAGGATTACCCGAGATATTCTAGTTCAAGTAGGAATAGAATTATGGATCCTAGATTACTTGTTGGCCAAGTTGGGTTAACACTATATATATCATAGCCAAGCCTTGGGTTTTGATATGAGAGCCATATGAGAAACATATGAGAGTTTATTGTAATTGGTTTTGAGTTATTTTCCAGTTATAATAAAGAGATTGTTTCCAACACTTAGATCACCAATATAAAAGTGGAAACCATCAATTTTATGAACGAAGTATCATCCACATGGCATTACGAGCTACAACTCATTTAAAAAAAGTAAAAGGAGATAAGATAGTCAAACAAGTCTTAAAGTCACTTGCGATTCGCGAGCTCTGCGTATCACACGTCGGCAGGTCAGCCAGCAATCAGATCCCATCCATTGCGCGAATAGGGCAGAAGTGCAAAACCATTGCCTGCAAGTCGGCAACCATACAATCCATTTGTTGATATCGAAGGTATATAAACCATAGTTAAACACCAATTCAAATTCTCATGTGGTTTTAGATCGGTCGGTAGATATACTCATCTTGTTGTTTTGTATGTTCGCTTTCGTGCAACTGAGGTTAGGCAATTCATTGCAGAAAGTTTTCTGCTTAGCAGAGGGCTTTTATTTTTTCTTAATTTTATTTTTTGTTTGTTTGTTTGTTTTTGAAGTAGGCATAACAAAAGACAAGCATTGAGAGTAGGAATAAGTGTAGTCATAAATAAATTCTTAAGAAGTATACATTTTAAGTGAGTTCTTAAAGTTCATCACTTAGGGAAATGTATATAAAAAAAGCTCTACTTTTTGGGCACAATTAAAATATATTGTAATGCTTCTTGTTTTCCTTCAAAAATTGTTTTGCTCATAAATCTTTGTTTCTCCCAATTATAGGTCTGTGGATGTGCAGAAAATTGAATCACAATGCATTAGTGCACCAAATGTATGCTCTTATGCTCCTCCACACAAGAAATCCACCTTATCTTTTCTCTAAATCTCCATTTCATTCTCCCTGTCCAGTTCTTCTTCCTCTCCCAAAATCATCATGTCTATTTCAGTCACTTCCACCTTCCCAAAGGGGCAATTTCTCCCAAAAACCTTCTTTATCCCTCAAATCAATCCCAACCCTTTTTCCTACGCTCTTCAAATTCGCCGTAACTTGTCAAATTCTTCCCCATCTAGACGAAATAAACTCTACCCAATCGCTAGCTCGGCTGCTGCCACTGTAAGAGCTCAAAAACAGTCATTCAGGAGCAAAAACCCAAGAGATGTCAATGTTCTTGTCGTAGGCTCAACCGGGTATATTGGCAAATTTGTGGTTAAAGAGTTGGTTAAAAGAGGGTTTAATGTGATAGCTGTTTGCAGGGAGAGAAGTGGGATTAAAGGGAAGTATGGTAAAGAAGAGACTTTAGGCCTATTTGATGGAGCCAATGTGTGTTTTTCTGATGTGACCAGTTTGGGTAATTTGCAAAAGAGTTTGGAGGGCTTGGGTGTGTCCTTTGATGTGGTTGTTTCATGCCTCGCGAGTCGAAACGGTGGGATTAAGGACTCCTGGCTGATTGATTATGAGGCCACCAAGAACAGTCTTGTTGCAGGGAGAAAACTTGGGGCTGTGCATTTTGTGCTGCTCTCTGCAATCTGTGTGCAGAAGCCTCTGCTCGAATTCCAGCGCGCCAAGCTGAGATTCGAGGCTGATTTGGTGCGTGAGTCCGAGGAAGATGACACCTTTAGCTACAGCATTGTGAGGCCTACCGCGTTCTTCAAGAGCTTGGGAGGGCAGGTTGAGCCTGTCAAGGATGGGATGCCTTATGTCATGTTTGGCGATGGGAAATTGTGCGCGTGCAAGCCTATAAGCGAGCGCGACTTGGCTTCGTTCATCGCGGATTGTGTCACGGACGAGAATAAGATGAATCGGGTACTACCCATTGGAGGACCGGGGAAAGCATTGACTCCATTGGAGCAAGGAGAGATGTTGTTCCGGATCGCGGGCAAGGAGCCAAAGTTCATCAAAGTACCCATTGAGGTCATGGATTTGGGCATAGGGGTACTTGATTTTTTGGCCAAGGTTTTCCCTTCCTTGGAGGACGCCGCGGAGTTTGGGAAGATCGGTAGGTATTACGCTGCTGAGAGTATGTTGGTTTTCGACCCCGAGACGGGAGAATACAATGCTGAGAAAACCCCAAGTTATGGGACAGATACTTTGGAAGAATTCTTTGAGAGAGTTCTTAGGGAAGGAATGGATGGCCAAGAGTTGGGGGAGCAGTCCATATTTTAGATATTTCATAGGTTCTTTCTTTCTTTCTTTCTTTCATTTTGAGGATCGTTCTCTTATGTAACATTGCAATGTATGCATTTGTAATTGTTGAATGTTAAATTTAGTCCCATCTTGTAAAATGCAATACTTGTCTTAGTAACAAAGTTTGATTAGATCATTAGATGTTACCCTTTTGTTCCTAAATAAATGTCTTACTAAGGCCATGTTCTGTTCACTTGATCTAAGTGCAATAAGTTCTGATTTGATCCGATTTGCTTTGGTCTGATCTCATCTGAATGTAGTTATATTTAAAGTTATTTCTAAAAAAATACACACACATAAGATCAATATTTTGAAAGAAATCTACTCAACTAGCATCTCATTTCATCGCATCCGAAATCGGTCCCTCTCAGATTTTCAAGGGAGCAACCAGTCTACCACTGGAATTTACTTGGACAATATTAGGGGTTGGTAACAGTTGAAGGTTCAATTTCCAAGAGGCCACATCAACAAAATAGGCTAATATTGTTATATTTATAATAGCTTTGGTATCTCAATCTTTTGAGTTAGCTTTTGAGAATTGAGATTGAATTGGGTACAAGTCTATATTTCACATAGTATCGGAGCTAATGTCGTTAAAGTTTGGATCACCTACAGTAATATGCCTCTCATGTGAGGGGGGCGTGTTGAGTGCTCGACTTCCCACATCGGCCGAATAGGCTAATTTACTTGGACAACATTAGGGGTTGGATCAATGCTCCCACTACTCCCAAGCTATCACATATTCACATCAATGTTCCAAACTTACCAAAAAAAGAGGCTAAACCTATTATAGTAATGCCTTGATATTTTTTTTTTTGAATGCTATTGACTCTATTACAAGGTAGTATCTGTTCATACTATTCTCAAGCTAATGACTAATGACGCACAAAGAGCCAATGCTGTTGCCTTCGCTGGGGCTCGAACCTGGGTGAACTTCCCCATGAATCCTGGGGAGTGGGCTTGCTACCACTCAAGCCAGGGGAGAAGTTCAAACAGAACAAGATTTTTGTATTTAACAAAAACCCACTTTCTATAATAGTATTGAACTTGAATGCTAAACAAAACTGTCGCAGGATCACGTTCAAGTGGAATGTAAATTTAGTCTAAACCTCGGTTTAGACTATGAACCAGCAAACTAATTAAGGTGACGAATTAAAAAAGATGAAAGAAGGAAAGAAAGGGGTCTAAAGACGATTGATCACCATTTGGTGATGAAGCTCGCGCATCCTATTCCTTATCCTCGTCACCCGGTTGGCACATTCGAAGAAGGCAACCTGCGCTTCTGCAGTTTCAAATCCCCCAAACTCTGAATAGGCATGGATGTCCCGGGGGTGTTGTCCCAATTCATGAAGCAATTGCATCTCATCTTCCAGTTCTAGGCCCAATTGGTAAAACTCTTGTGTAATTGCAGCGTTGTTCATTTTTTTCTTGTATATATCAGACACAAGTTTAAGTATAATGTGTGATTACGCTACGATAATTAAGGAAAAATAGATCCCAGAGGGACTACTACCTGAAAAAAACGAAAAAGACGAAATGATTAGAAACGGCCCTCATATGCTAGAAAAGAAATGAGATCTCCCTGCCTCCGCCTCTGAAAAAAAGGCATTTTACCATTAAAATATACTAAGGAGAATAAGAAAACACGGTGGAAGTAACATTTCAAGATGACCCTTGTCGTGATACGTAAGAGGAGTTGCAAGGAAGACTTAAATGCAAAAAAAAAATTAAAAAGTGAATTTTATGTACCTTTTACTTGGTCCGGTCATTTGTGTGCTGCGAACAGGCCATCACATTTTGGTGCATGAAATCCAGGGTCCAAAAAGCGATTAGCAACATCTTCCAGCAGTACTCTGAGGGTAAAATGTTCCATAGTAAAAAACAAACCTCAATTGCTAAGGATAAAATGGAGAAGCAACATGGAACTGATGGAAGATGTCAAAGGCAAGTAGTTTATAGCAAGAGCTACCATGGTGCCCCATAACTCAATCGTGGACGCGGAAAAGAACAGGATAGTGCTTCCTATTCATTCAAAAGCAGCACAGGTTTATTACTGAAGACTGTTAACACCAAACACTTGGTAATAAAGAGTTAAAGATGACAGTGTAAGCAAAGAGTATTGTTGTGTGCAATTTTAATCAGAATGGATGACAGGTGAAAAAGCAAACCTCTAAACATTTGATACACATCTCCGGCGGGATATCTCACAGACAGAAATGGATCATCCCACCGCCACTTTCTCCTCCTCCACCCACTGGACCGTCATGAGCACAGTACTGGACCATATGCCAGACTCTGCACGATTAAGAGCATGTAGAAATAAGATTATAATTCCACCAGATCTACCATGAGTTCCCACATCCTTTGTACTGGCAAAACCCCCTCACATCATATAAAGCATACTAAATGATCACATTCAAGACGCACAATGTAGCGTGTGCTTTGGAGCTCAACAGAATCTTTAAGAATTAGTATCCTAAATTTGAGGTAATGAAACAAACGAACACGGTTGAGCATAAGAGAGAGGAACACATATCCCCTTTGAAACCATCAATTCCATCTTATCATTGTCAAATTGTTAAAACATTGTACATCGTTTAAAAGGGAGATCAGGAGGTTCAATTGATATAAGTCATATAACAACCTAAAGAATGATCGGACCAAACTCCCAGTGAAGTTGGTGTGCATGTGGTTGGGGGTGGTGAAGGTGGTATTGCACTTTGGGGACCCAGTTGCCCATCCCACCCCACATCTTGTCTCTCTCAGAGGAAAGGAGATGAACAGAAAAACATTGCACATTACTTTGCCACACAACATTTCAAAATGTTCATTGATGTAAAGTTCTGGCACTGATCATTAAGTACCTCATTTTATGTTTTTTAGTAGGATTTGTTGATTGAAATTTCCAGAAAGACTGACGAACCCGGATTAAAGTTATCTATTCTTAAATAGACTATCTCAAACTCAAAAATTTAGACAACTCAAGCAATAATAGGACTGTAGAGTCTGGTTTATACTTTATAACATCTAAACATACTTTGCCTGACCTGCAACCCAAAGGCATGAAAGAGTAGACTAATTGATCCATAGCATGTCCAATTCATGCAATAAGTTTATTATCAACATGGATATTATGAAAGAAAAATGTCCAACAACTCACATTTCATCAATATTTGGATGGAAAATTGTATTCACAAAAGATAGGCATCTTGCAGATCCCTGACATTCCACACACCCCTGTTGAGGACCTGTCAAAGGGCAGAAAGGTTGCAGATAAACCAATTTGGCTAAACTTGGTAACCATTTCTTACAAACACAGAAAATATGAAAAGAAGGTATTAACTGAGAACTCATAAACTCAATTAATCAAAAGAGGAAGCGAAGATAAGTGGAACGAATTTCCAACAGCTGAACAAAAGATTTATGGGGCTAGGGCAATACAATAGAACATCATCGATCAAATTAGACAGATTCACACATAGCAAACATCCAAACCATTTATCCTATATAGAATGATCCATTTAAACCTAGTCGAACGATCCATTAGAACAGCCTCCCGATGTCTCATTGTGAATCATACACATTCATCCACTAAATTGTTAAGATTGAAAATAAATTATCGACGTAATAAGCACTATAGTTCCCGTTCGACTTCCTAATCTTTACCCTGCAAATGATGAACGTGAAATTGGATGATGGAAGAGGAAGAAAGATTCGATCATTTACGGTACTCTCACAATATCCGAAGTTAGAGAAGGATGAGAGCGAAAGAGAGAGAACGAAAAGGACCTGGAAAATCGCTCCCGCCAGCGGCGGCGCTGGCGGGGAGGCGGAGGCGGGGCGAAACCGGAGACGCAGGCACTTACCCGAAGTCCAGAACAGTCGTTATCGAGGAAACTGAAAATTTTCCAAGCGGCTTTTTCGTTTTAATACGGGCCCATTGGCTATTTTGTTACTTTCCTCACCAATGCGACTCCACTGTTACTTTCCATTTTTTATTAAAAAATCATTTTACCTCTTATTTTTTTTATCTTATCTATCACATCATATTTTTTTCTCTAATATAGAGTAAGATATTTATCACATTTTGTGTTTACTGAAGGCAACATTGGAAGTCAACTACTACATCCATCTCACAAAACTTTTCTTCTTTCTATTTTTCATCCATTCCAAAAACTTTTCTCGTTTCTATTAAAAAGTTATTTTTACCCCTACTCATTCTTAAATAATATCACATTACACTTTTTCACTACTAATTTACCTATCACATCCAAGGATATTGTTGGAAAGTAAATACCACAATACACTTCTCTTAAATCTCTTAAAAATTAAAATAAAAAATGTTTTGTGGGACAGGGGAAATATAATTTTACTATTTCTTATTTTGGCACTTGGTCAAAATGAGAATTGTTTTTAAGAACGGAGAAAGCAGCTCTTTCCAAATTTGTCAAACAACTCTCTAGATACAAAGGGCCAAAGGGGAATCACTTCAGTTCCACTACAAAAAGGTATGCACTTTCCAAATCTGTTTTGCTCTTCTCATTTAATGTTTAGTTCATTCATTTTATTTCTGTTGTTTTTATTTGTAAAACATATTACTCACTTTGTATTATTCACGTGATCAAACAGCATTCACTTTCTTCACTTATTTCCATGGCTCATTTAATAAATTAAAATAATGTATTGCTTCTTATTTCATAAATCTTTTTATGTAATTTTTAAATATACGTCAATTTTATTTTTCTAATTTTGCCCCAGTTTTTAAATGCATTGAACTTGAGAATAACTTTTGTCAAATATTATAAAACAGAATATGTGATTTAGTTGGGAATGGAGGGAGTATATTTTCCTAGTTAAAATATATATTTTCATCACACATGTCAATCATGCAACGTTAATTTCCTTAATTTTCTTTATCAGTCATGAAATTTAACTTTTCATTTCTGAAAGCTAGTGTGATTCATATCATTTTACTAAGTTCACATTTCATCTTATAAAATACTTTCTTCGTGCCTAAGAGTATTTTTTTTCTTTCTTTTTTTTTGTGTCCAACAAAATCCTTTTCTTTTTTACCTTGTATTTAAAAACTACTTTTATCCTTACTAATCCTTACCATATCTACTACGAAGTACATCATACATTTTTACTTATAATATATCAATTATATCTTACATTTACTCATCACATCAAAAGTATTTTGGAAAATCAACACAAAAATATCACTCCCTTAAATTTTTAAAAAGTCAAAACGAGAATAATTTTAAGAGACGGAAGAAGTAATGTTTAGAAAAATAGAACTCTTCGGGGGATTGGTTGAGTATATAGCTTTCTTTTTTTTCCATTATTATGCACCGCAAGTAATCAACACATATTGTTTGTTTTTTCTCTTTTAGAATAATTGATGTAACAACAACCCAAGACGCTGTGTTAATTTTGAACCGTGAATACTATTTGTATGTGCGTGGAAATAATGGTGTTATGTACGTGATTCTGCGATCATCATCTATTTAGTTGTGTGTCCTTAACCAAATCACCTTTGGATTTGGTTTAGTTAATAAGTGTGTATGTGTCTATCTTTTATTTTGGGTGCTAGAGTGTGTGTGCACCTAACCAATCACTTTTGGATTTGGTTTAGTTAATAAGTTTCCTATGTGAGAACTACTTATAATAATACGGAGTAATATATGTAATGTGCTTGCTCGTGTAATTCTATGTTTTGTTAATGAGTGTTGTGGCAACATTTCTTGGTATGATATTTTAAAATTATGCTTGACTAGTAGTCCCTGGTTGTGGATGGTATGTTTCTCCTCTCTAATAAATTTCTAATTTTTTTTTATACATAGAGTATATCCAAAAAAAACTATTATTCCTTCTACAAAAATACCATAACTATATATTGGACTATGACTTTAAACTAAACCACATACACGAATGGTGATTCTAGGCACCCAAGGTTCACGTCTAATTCCTAGACCTTCACACAAATATTGTTAGGTTTAGAAGTTAATATGGAAAAAGGCCCGTTTCACCCAATCTAAATCCTAATCTCCTAATCCAAATCTTAATATCCTAATCCCCTAATCCTAATCATAATAATAATACTAAGGAGTCGACATCGACAAGGTACATATAATTAGAATGAATCTAAGAACCATGAAAGTATTTGCCTTTATGTTTATCTAAGAAAGAGGGAGGTTTGGGTTTGAAGAATCTTGACAAGTCTTCAAAACAGAAGAAGATGCAAGAAGGGTCCTGTGTCAACTTAATATAGGAGTATGTGTTAAGAACAAATGAGTTTTTGGGCACTGATGGCTGTGTTGTGATTTTGTAGAATTGTTCATTTCAAATAATCAATGAAAACACATCCGCAGAAAAAGAATAAAGATGTCACATAAAGGAAAGGTGTCACATAACAGCTCCGAGTACTCAGAACAAAATTAAGGCAAAGTCATGTTCAACCACGATTTGAATCTAGTCTAAACCTCAGTTTAGACTACATAAGAAGGAGCAAATCCAACAAATTAAAACTGAACAGCATGAAAGAAAGAACAGCACAAATAAAAGGTCTAGAGACGGCTGTGCACCAGTTGGCGATGGAGCTCGCGCATCCTTCTATTTAGTCTTGTCACCCTGATGCAGCAGTCGATGAAGGCACCCTGCGCTTCTACACTTTCCCATCCCCCAAATTCCGGACGGGCATAGACGTCCCGTGGTGCTTCGCCGAGCTGATCGAGCAGCTGCATCTCGCGTTCCAGTTGTTGTCCCAGCTGAGCAAGCTCGCGTTCAATAGCGCTCCTGTCCATTTTTCCTGAAAATGTGTGTATACCGGTCAGATGTTTGTACAGTGTGTACCAGGGCACGGAAACAATAACAAAAACAATCTTGAAAGTACCTGAAAAGATCAAAATGGTTGGAAATGTATGCTGCGCTAGGAAAAAAAGAAGGAATCTCCCTGCCTCGGCTTCTGAGAAAAGACATCATACCATTGGACTATATGAGAAAACGCAGTGGAAGTAACAATTAAGATGCACCGGCGATACATAAGAGGAGTTACAAGGAAGAGTTTACTGCGATCAGATTAATACAATGATGAGTTTCATGTACCTGATCATTGGTGTGCTGCAAACAGGCCATCACATGGTCGGTGCATGAAACCCATAGTCCATTAAGACAGATTATCAACATCTTTAGGCTCCAGTTCAAGAGTGTTCTGAAAAAAGGACTCAATTTAAATGAAGGAAAACAAAACGCAGAAGTATAATTGAAGATGTCCGACATTAGTATTTTATAGAGAGAGCTACCTTAATGCCCATCAACTCAAGAGTAAACATATAACAGAACAGGACAGTGCCTCTGTTGATACACAAATTAATCACAACTCTGAAGAAATTTTAATCAGAACTCAGAAGAAATGACAGGTGAAACAGCAGACCTCTATATATATCTCCAGTGGAATATCTGGCCATGTCCTCTGTACGTGCAAAACTTCCTATCAAGCTTCCTTCAAAATTGTCTCCATCAGATTTTTAACCGAGCCTTCAGAAAATAAAGGTGACAACAAACTGTCCCTGCCCTGCAAACTCAGAGACATGATAGTGTAAATTAATACATGTCCAACTCAGAGACATGATAGTGTAAACTAATTTGTGCTATAAGTTCATTATTAACATGAAAATCAGGAGAGAGCAACGCCTGCCAACTCACATTTCATCAATATTTCAATTACAAATCTCATTGGGATAATTGATAAAAAGAGACAAGAGGATAAGCATCTGGCAGTTCAACCCTGGCATTCCACACACCTTCATGTGAAGGACCTGTCAAAGGGACAAAGATTGCAAACCAACGTTTTTGGTTAAGCTTGGTATCGACTGAGATATATCGGTTATTAGAAGTCAATAATAACAGATTATATTTTATATCAACTGGGAGGAAAAGATCTCACTGAGAATACAGCAACTTAATTCATTAAACAAGCTAACAAAGATAAATTGAATAAATTTGCAACAGTCTAATAAAAGATTAGGGACTAGGGCAAAAGAATGTAGTAGAGATTTAATTAGACAGATTTACATGTAGCAATCATCCAAACCATTCATCCTACATACACTCCTAAAGTTTCAGAATTCACGAAGACAAGATCAGCCTCCCCGCTTCACAATGTGAATCAATTGTTAAGATTACGAATACAATATTGACATGATAAACTGCAATATTTTACAGTGCCAACGATCGAGTATAAACTACAAGATAGAAAACTAGGACAGATTGAGATAGATTATGGCACACAGACAAAAAAATTAGGTACAATACAATAGAATTATAGAACATAGATTGAATTGACAGATTCATACAGAGCAATCATCCATAACATTCATCCTGCATCCATTAGAAAAATTTCAGAATACATCCATGAACTTTCATGAAAAATTTCATCAAGACAACAACAGCTTCCCCGATTCTCATTCTGAATCGAACACATCCATGGTCCATCCGGCAAAATGTCAAAATTAAAAATACAATATTGATATGATAAGTAGTACGATGCCTGTTCTACCTCCTAATTTTACTGTGCGATCGATCAAGATTAAACTAGAAGATAGAAAACGATGACCGAATGGGAGAGCTTACGGCGTCACACAAAACCAGATGCGAGAGAAGAATGAGAGCGAAAGAGATAATAGAAAAGACCTGAGCGAGCGGAGATCAAGAAATCGCTCCCGCCAGCGGCGGCGCTGGCGGGGCAACGCCGGATACACAGGCACTTACCAGAGCAGTTGTACAGAACAAAAGAAACTGACAATTTTCCAAGCGGGTATTTCTCTTTAAATAGGCGCGCGGATAGAATAAAATCCCGAACTGATGGAACTATATTCTGTTACCCCATTTGGTGTCATGGTAGTTGGATCTTGGCTTGCTCTGGCTCGTATAACTGATCTAAATATTTGTTTAAGGTGGGTTTGATCGACAGGATGAATTGGATAATAGTTAAAAATGTTTGATAAATTTAGTTCTTTGAAAATAGCTATTTCGATACACACACACATAGCTATTTGTTTTTTATTTTTGTACATGTAACAATTAAATCATTAACATGTGAAGTATAAAATTTCATTTTCATATATAATTCATAAGAAATTATTAATATATAACTTTTTAATGATTTTTACTTTTGATTTCTCATATCTTTTTTTGAAAATTTAAAATTTAAAATATGTTTTTTTTTAATTTTTGAATTTTTTATTATTTTTTTATTATTTTTTTTACATATATTATAAAATATCATTAAAGAAAAATGATTAAAATAATTTTTTTTTCTAAAAGTCAAGTTCAAAAGCTACTTCCCTTGACTTTTTGGATTTTGGCATTTCGGATCAAAAAGCTAAGTAAAAAAGTCATTAGCCAAACAATAGTTTTGACAGTTCAATAAGTCAAAGTCAGTTAAAGATGTCAAAAGCTATGCGAATAACTGTTTTCCAAACACAACTACTATCAGCACTCAAAATACCCATAAAGCCTCGGGTTTCTCGAGCTTCAAACCTTCTATCTGACATGTTAGCTTTAACTTACCTTATAGTTTGAATGGAAATGTGTTTGGAGTTCCGAGCTTCAAACTGGAGCTTTAAACCTCCATTTTTAACATTTTAAATACACATCTTCTAAAATTAAATTAATAAAATTTAATTATTTAATTATATAAAAGAATTGAAATGAGAATAATTGATTTAAAAAATTGCATTCATTAAAATTCTGTCATAGAAATTGATATATCAAATATTGCCCATGTGTTTATTTTTTCAAAACTATAAGTTACTGTTCAGTTCCCATATATCATTTTTATTGCCCATGTGACCATGTGTTAGGGGCTGTTTGTTTCAGCCTTTTAATGGTTCAGATGTCTGAATGGTTCAGCACTTAATGGTTCAGGCTGTTTGTTTCAGCCTCTTAATGGTCCAGATGTCTGAATGGTTAAGAGATTTGCCTCTGAATGGTTAAGTATTATACAGAGTCTGAATGGTTAAGACCTCTTATCTGAATTGATCAGACATTTACCTCTGAATAGTTAAGCAATATATTAGCTCTTAATGATTCAGACCTCTTACTGGTTCAGCACTTAATGATTCAGACCTCTTACTGGTTCAGCACTTATCTATTCAGAAGTTACCAAACAGCCCCTTAATATTTTTTTCAAAACTTATTCTCAATGTGTAATTTCCTCATGTATAGAAAATCATAGTGCTGAGTAATTAAGTGTTTATTTGTCTATGTGCTTATTCCATATAGTGCTAATTTGTTACTGCCCTGCCCCATAGTGCACACTATGTGTTTCACAAAATGTCCATTGAGATTACTTGATCAAGATGATGGTGATGATACAAATATAGTTTTTCAAAGTAGTGAATTGTTATTATTATGAACTTGGGGAATGATTGTATTATGCACATTTACATATACAATTTAGATATGAATTTTTTATAATGAAAATTAGGTCTTTATGTTTAAAATCTAACTCATAATAGGTTAAATTCGGACCGAATCGAAAAATTTAAGACTGGACCAGTATCAAACAGGTCTGATCTTCGATCTTTGCATATAGACGATTCTGATTCCAGTCTGGTTCGGAACACACCCTAATTATGATCTGTGTCATCTCTGTGAAGCTTGGGTGATAACAACTATTTGGGGGCACACTAGCATGGTCCTAATTAGTTTTTTAAACAATATATTTGTGTAGGGAGAAAAGTTTGGGATACATTTGGGGCACACTTGGTGTACCTATATCATTTTTGTTCGTAGTTTTCTCTAATGCTTGCACATTATTAATGAACCCACTTTGTACATTAGTACTTTACACTGACAAAGTATTAGTATACAATAATATAAAATATCGGTGTAAATACCATCAATCACATTATCATTCTATGTTAGTGTATATTTATATTTTACTAGTGCAAAGTACTAGAGTACAAAATAGAATATACTTGATGAGATAACACTAGCATTATTCATTTGTTTGCTTCTTGCAAAGTGACACACAACTCTTGCTATCATCTAAAAAGGACAATAGCACGGGCATCTCCATGTTTTCCAAAATATATACCAAATTCCTTTCTATTTTAAAACTTTTTCATTTTCAATAATAGCAACATATAATACCAAAATATAGTGAGATGTCATTATACAATATTACTAATATCAGTGCAAAATTTTATTTTATGGATAAAAATATGTAACTCTTATTTTCAAGATAAATGTTATCTTTTATTCCTATTTGGAGTGATGTCTTATCTTTAACTGGTACACACAGACTCCTAACCTATTTTCATAATTAAAATGACATTTATGCCCATTCTAGTGCTTTTCTTGCTCTTGATAATTTCGTTCTTCACATTGAAAAACAATTTAATGTTTAATGTCATCCGCTGAAATAATGGAAAAGAGTTTGAAGATACTTATGCACAATCCTTTTGCAAATCTCATGGAATTATTCATGAGTCTCCACTAGACTCAGAAAGCCTCATTCAACTTACAGCATTATAATTGCCTTACCTTAGCAACTCAACGAGTCTTGTTTGATTTTTGACAAGCGTGCAAGAAAGACTTTCTAGGCTACTTATTCACTACTGTACAACTTTCCTGAAAAAAGAAGATCAAATAGTAAAGCCTTGGTTTAACTATAGTTCCACAAAATGCTCTTAATAAGAAGCTCATTTTTCAAACAAAATTGATAAGTTACAACACATGGGGCACATGCATGAACAATATAACCATATTAATTATGCTACACTTCTTCAGGAATAGGGTTACAATGCGCACAAGTGAGTGAAACATATTCCTAGACAGAAAAGAATTCCTCAGGAACGTAAAACTTCAGTCCAATGGCCTGCAGTCAATCCAAGATGAAAATACTTGTCTTATTAATAAGTTTTAGTCATCAATATATGCACCGCACCCACTATCAAATTCTGTGTTACCTGGGCAAATTTAATGTCTGCATCACTGTGATCCTTCTCTCTACCAGCAGCATCGCCAACATAGAAAGATCTTGAATAGAATATGTTAGACATTTGACATCATAGTGGAATTAAAAGTTAAAACAACACAAATTATAATTTATTACAATATATTATTATTATTATTATTATTATTATTATTATGAAGACAAGAAAAATGAAAATCAATACAGCAAGATGGAGATTAACTTGTCCATGTCAATTGGAAGTCCAGAATTGAAATGATTCTTAAGAAGAGACCACATTCCAATGTTTGGTTTGCGATAGGGGTCAATCGTTGAGGCATTGAATCCACAAGCAATGAAGACCTTCAATTCACAAAAAGTTGGTGATTAAAGCACTTTATGAATGAATTACTCAATAAAAGAAGCAGGCACCACATTTAGAGCGAGCAAGCAGGCACACCACGCACCCGGAACTTTACTTGAAAAATAGATTGATGATAGGGAGGGGGGTTTTAGAAAAGAGGATTGCGAACCACCTGGATTGGGACCTTCGCAAGCTTTATAAAGCCTGCAAGTCGACCGATTTTGGAGTCCACAGCTGTTTGTCTTTTGTTCTTCCAGCGCTCTATATTTGATTCATTGGTAAAGATTACCTTTTTGTAAAAGTACAACCAAGTAAATTCCCAAATCAGGTAATTGCTTCAGATCATATATATTTCAAAACACTGTAAGATATGGTTGATCAACTTCAACAGAACTAATGCGGAATGCAAATATAAAGTACAACCAGGTATGATCTAAAAATACAAACCAGCTTATAGCCATCATTGTACAAGCTTTGAAGTTTCTCTGGTATTGAAGGATACATAAGAGACCAAGCATTTGCACCGACTCTACATTTAAAAATGGAACTACAATAAAATTATCTATTCATCAACCACCCAGCAGTCATTTTTCTCTTATGTCTACAATAAGGATATTTGCTGGTAGTGTTGTGAAAATTACAAATATATAAAGAAAGAAATACCCCCACCATCCAAAACTAAGGTTCCACATTTGACCGCGTACAATTATTAAGAAGGTAAAATTGAATGGTTGAGAGTTATGCAAAAGAGAGAAATGGTGTAAAGCATATCATTTCTTTAAAAGGAAAGTGAAACTTTATTTTGGGACAAAAAAACAAAAAGAAAGGCTAAAGAATCTTTTTCCGGCATGGAGGGCATAAATACATAAATAAATACAAGCAGAACACATGAGGTAAAAGTAGTGTGTTGTGCATATAAACAATACCTTTTTACATTTGTCTTGGCAAGACATCCATCAAAATCAAATGCAGCAATCTTTTTTGAGTCAAGAAGTCCTTCATCCTATAAACAAAGAACATGAGATCATTCAGGAATCAACAGAAAGCTTTAACACACACACACATAGTGACACATCCACACAAAATTGGACTATTGAAATAGTTATCTACAATCTATACAATGTATGCAAAATTGACCATGTAATTTCAAAACTATCGCATTGAAACCTTACCTTTTCTAACTTATTATTCTTTTAATCCAAAACCTTCTATTCAATCCATTTACTTCTCTAACCTCTCACATCGAAGTTATGTAAACTGTAAAGAGCTTTAAACATTTGGCTTTGAATTGTGAGATGTTGTATCAATATTTTCAATTAAGTAATTTGAATTGTATACTGATGCATCCAGCCAACAATTCAAAAACAATAAACAAAGCACTAAACCAAAGTACTTGCAAGATAATATTTGTGCATCACCCAACAGTTCAAAGCCAAATGTTTGAAGATACTTTGCAAGAGCTCGATGTACTTCATTCGAAAAGCATACGAGCTCAATAAAAATGTATTTAAAGGGGCATAAGAATTATTTAGGTACAGTTCTCAAAGTGATAGATTCAAACAGCACCAGTATATACACAAAAAATTAATTGAACAACACACCCATTCAAGATATATTGTTGTCTGAAATGCCTTCCATTTTGGTAGTAGCTTTGCACCCTGACATAAGATCTTAATGGTAAAACAGTGCTTCACATAAAAGTAATTCATGTTGCTATGCACATGGAAGAGAAAACAAAAAAGCTCTAATGTAAAAATAGATTGAACATGACTAATACTCTTCCGCCCCTTTTTTAAACTCCGCATCTTGGTTTACAATGTTTGACTCAAGTTATTATCAATTCTAATTATTTAAATATTAGTGTAAAATTAAAAAATAAGGAGTAAACTTAAGATATTTAAAGACTACATCAAAAGTTCTATAAAACAAGTGATGACTTGATTATTTCATCGTAACACGTGATTAAAGCAAATAATGTAAGAAGAGTGGAAGAGCCCCAATCGTGGAATTTTAGTGGGTTTGTTGTTGTGAAGAAAAGAAAGAAAATATAGTTTGACCTTTGAATAGTAAAAGTGCAGTTTAATTAGGGACTGATGGAGTAATAAAATGCAACATAATCATTTTTTACATAATAATAGGGATTGAAATTATTGATGAGTAAATTCATTAACAATGACAATATAGAGAATCCATACCTTATAATGAGACTTCACATCACCGATAGAGAACATTATCTCTTGCTCTAGTCCCTTGATTGAGATAGATGACAAGGTATTACCAGAATCAAGTATAAGATAGATATACACTAGCAAATCCTCTTCACTTTGGCATAATGCAACAAAGCACATAGAAGGTGGAACAACATGGACCCTTTCAATTTCATCTATGACTGTTCATTTGAGTACTTCATGGTACAACTTTGCACACCTTAATATTATGGTACATGCTAAGGGATTTTCAAAATTAGCTTGTGACCAACATTCTCCGAATGGCGTCTCTCATGAAGTGTGTGTATGTGTGTGTGTGTGGGGGGGGGAGGTCCTTACGAGATCACATGTCAGATCGGGATGGTGTGTGTGAGAGTTAGATAGGACCAAGGAACAAAAACAACAACAACACACCTAGTAAAATTGCACCAAGTGGTATGCAAACCTTATCCCTACTTGCAAAGTAGAGGGGTTATTTCCAAGAGAACCCCGGACTCAAAAGACATGAACACTACAACAAATAAAAGTAGCACGAACAAAGCAAGCACACTACAAAATTTGGCCCAAAGGTCTGCTATACTACCCTAATCCTAAACCTTCATATCCTTAGTAAGATTTTGAAGTCATAAGTCCTGTCTAATCACCTCCTTCCAACTCTTCTAAGATCAACCTTTAGCCCTCTTTACACCCCATACCTCAAGTCTCTTGCACCTCACTACGCCATTTGTACTTCTCAGTATGTATCCAAACTATCTTAGTCTAGCTTCTCGCACTTTACACTTCATAGAGACCACTCCCACTCTCCCTCAATTCCCCTCAAATATTTTCGTTTCGAATCTTATCCATCCTTGTATGACCATACATCCACCTTAGCATCCTCATCTCTGTCACTGACAGCCTTTGAACATGAATGTTTTTCACCGTCTTGCACTCGCTACATACAACATAGTTGGTCTAATCGCCACCCGTTAAAATTTCCCTTTCAGGTTTGCCGATATCCTTTTGTCGCAAAGGACACCTGAAATTGTTTCCACTTTGTCCAAACGGCTCCAATATGATGAACAACATTTCCATCGATCTCCTCATCAGCCTAAATGATGGGTCCAAGGTACTAACACTTATCCCCTTTAAGCACTAGATGTGAATCAAACATCACTTTAACTTTCGATTCACTCGCCAAACCACTCAAGCAAACTTTCTACGTACTTGATCTTAGTCCTACTCAATTTAAAACCTTTGGAATCCAAACTTTCTACGTACTTGATCTTATTGTTTCCTATTTAGATGGTAGGGCTTTTTTGTAGTCTCCCTATTTAAAGGGTGTTTTGGTTAATGAGAAATCAATCAATCTTGAGAACATTTACTAACAACCACATACTAGTCCTTGCCTCATCATAAATGTTCACAACACCCAGAATGTAAGCAAGTGATGACTGACTCAAAAATAGGCCTTTTGAGATAAAACTAGTCATGCTAATGACTATTGGTGTGTGTGTGTGTGTCTTTGTCTTACTCCATTTAGGAAAAACATTCACAAGCCACATTTAAAAAGTTTCTATCCCATTTTTATGAATGGCAACTCCAACATGCTAGAGGATTATAATCCAATCTCTACTCTATTGTTCACTCAAAACATAATCAAAACAGGTGGAAACTGTGAGTTTACCTTTGCCTTTTTTGTCTTATCTTCTTCCGGCTCAATGTCTTCTTTTCCATCAGTTTTTGGAACCTAATATCATGAAGAAAATTAAATCAACCCAAATGCAATCAAATATTGATTTAGCCGCAATAAGCTAAAAGCTAGAATTTACATTCACCTCTGCAATCTTTCTCTTTAGGGTATCTTTCTTTGCACTTTTGTCATTGTGAGAGACCTACAAAGTTTAATATCAATACTAAGTTGTGTTGTTAGTCTGTTAGAGCACATCAACGAAACACCACACGGCCATATGTTCATAAAATTATGAATGTATGTGTTTCATGAGTAAGAAGTGTCAGTCACTTTTCCAGGTGCAAGAGGCAGATAAGCTAGTATCTGCTATGCTTTTCTTGTCTACACATTCTTCATCAGATGAAACCTATAATGTTAAAGATTATTGTACTACATACGGATCTAAAATGAATCTAATTCCAAAATTAAAAAAAATAAAGGGAACTAAATCCATTCAACTATTTTAAAAAGTGAATTTATAATCCAAAATCTCAAAAACATACTACATATATGTAGAGAGAACATCCGGAATAGTCAATTGTTGAAGCAAGTCATCGCAATTTAGATCTATATCTGACAGGTGAAATAAAAGAAAATTGTAACTTCACAGAAAACTATGAAGTATTATGTTGCAACAAGATTATCTTGCTGTATAGAACAAGGAAACTGATTGCTTCAACGAAGAAGAACCAGAGAGAAGATAAACAGAGAGATGTTTGAGAAGATAGAGGAAATTGAGATTTATTTAATGATTGATCCTCTACAGAGAGGGAAAATGTATTTATAATAACTTCACTAGCTAACCCTAAATGGATAGTTAAATAGAAATAGAGGAAGTACGAAGTAGAATGTTAACTTAAAAGGTCGCGCCGAAAACTTTAGGAGGGAAAACTTTAGAATGTAACAATTAGTCAATTATGTAAGTGTTATTTTTTATGTACATCTGTGTTAAATAATAAAATAACTATGAAGTATATCATAGGAACCGAAACCGAACCGAAAACCAGTCAAACCGAAATAAATCAGGAATCGAACTGACCCGAACCCATTATAACATATATCCCAAAGAGACCCGAACTGGAACCGAACCAATTGCCAGGTCTACTCTGAGAGATGAGAATCCAGAGATGGCTTCTGCTGAGGGAAGAAGATCGGAACTAAATGTAAAGCATTCCAAATGATGCCACTTAGTCATGTCGAACCCCTCTGGACCTTTAGGCACAAGCCCCATCCGGAGAGAGCAAGCAGCGATCACATTCGAGCATTTCTTGCAGGCAGCCCAGACTTGGCATACTCTGCCACGACTTTAGCAGGCACAGTCATTGAGGAAGAGAATGAGAGTAATAGGGGTGAAGGGGGATTAGGGTTCAGGAGAATTTTGGATGAAGTGGTAGAGACTTAAAAAAATTGCCCCCACGACAGAATAGGAGGTTGAATGATTACCAGTACTTCAAATATATACTCCCTCCGTCCATAAATAAACTTCTTATTCAATATTCACAAGGTCAAACTTTATTCACTTTGTTGCCCTATTTTCGTCACCCATTTGATAAAATAATATAGTCATGTCACCTCTAGTTTTGTAGATCTTTTGATATAATTTTTTTATATTAATTTTTATTTTTAAATTTTACACCATTTTTCATATAAAATGATTTGAAAATAACTTCAGTCAAACATCGTAACCCGCAACGGAAAGTTTATTTGTGGACGGAGGGAATATATATATGAAGTAATGGTTCAACCACTAGAATCATTCAACCTGTAAAGAGCAGTGCCTTAACCGGTTCTGTCGTGGGGGCAGTTTTTTAAGTCTCCACCACTTTTTCCAAAATTTGTTTGAACCCTAATCCCCCCCCTTCACCTCTACTACTCTCATTCTCTTCCTCAATGACTGCGCCTACTTAAGTCGTGACAGAGTATGCCAAGTCTGGGCTGTCGTTCTGCAAGAAATGCTCGAATGTGATCGTTGTTTGCTCTCTCCAGATAGGACTTGTGCCTAAAGGCCCAGAGGGGTTCGACACGACTAAGTGGCATCATTTGTAATGCTTTACATTTAGTTCTGATTTTCTTACCTCAGCTGAAGCCATCTATGGATTCTTATCTCTCAAAGTACATTTATACTTTTAAAAAAAATGAATTTGCAGTTTGCATATGCATCTGCTTACAATGTTTTGTAGGTAGTATTATTTTTTTTAAATCCCTTTTATCATTCCCATTACGAGTTTTATGAATAGAAACATAGTTTGCTGTCAAACTTTCATTTTTTTTCAAAAAAACTTTTCATACAGAATAGTGATAAAGAGAGCCTGGAGAAATTAATTAGTGAAGCTTCTGCCCATAAACCGGAGGTATGTTGTAATTATTGTATTGAACTTTTTTTGAGGTGACATTATTTATTTGTAGGAGTAACCATATTGTGTTTGAATTCCTTGAAATAGAGAAGGACGAAAATGTATTGTCATCTAAAACCAAAGAAATTTGATTATTATATCTCCACCTTTTTTGTGAGATCAAAAGATTGAACTAGGTTTCATAGCCCGCAACCTTTCATTTTCCATTATTATAGATTCTATCTTAACCCTAGTCAGTTAATATTCTATAGTTTTTGTTGAAGTTACAATTTCCTAACCATTTTGCCATTCAGCTAGAGATCTAAATCGTGATGACTTACTTCAAATGAATTTAAGTAGGACCAAATCATGTTTCATGGCCCAGATTAGGATTCACAATGTTTTTATACTAAAACAAGACTTATAATGCTAAATAATGCCAACACATTTTGCCAAAAAACACTCTAAAATGTCAGCACAGTAGCACACAATGTCAAACTGCGGCGTTTACAGTGCCAAGTGCCAACACTACTATTTAGGGAAAAAAAGATATCTTATTTTGATATATGTTTCATGTTTTAGTCTCATTTAGGTAGATTTCTTTAAATACAATTAAGAAAATGCATTTAATGTCGGTATATTAGTAGCTATGGATGTGAAAATTAGGGAAAATACTATACCACAAGTAAAGAGATTTAAATATCTTGGGTGTATCATTCAAGACAATGGAGAAATAGAGGATGATGTTAATCACAGGGTGCAAGCCGGTTGGTCGAAATGGATGAGTGCTTCGGGCTTTATATGTGACAAAAAAGTACATTTAAAACTAAAGGGAAAATTTTACCGTACTCCTATTAGACCAGTATGAGTGTTGGGCAGCAAAGGGTGAACATGAACACAAGGTTAGTGTGGCAGAAATGAAGATGCTTCGTTGGATGAGCGGTCATACGCGTATGGATAGAATGAGGAATGAAGATATGAGAGCTAAAGTTGGAGTGGCACCTATTGTAGAAAAGATGGTGGAAACTTGTCTTAGGTGGTTTGGACAACATCTTGTGAGAATGGTTGATCAAATGGTGAATAAGCATGTGGCTAGAGGAAGAGGTAGACCTAAGAGGACTTGGCAAGCATTGATCAAAGGAAACATTCACGTGAATGATCTCACGGTAGATATGATACATATGATACATGATAGGGTGCAATAGCGTCGCTTGATCCATGCAGCTGACCTAGTGGGATATGGCTTTGTTGTTGTATATTAGTAGCTGAAGAAAGAGCGGGAAAAAGGTGTTACCTATCGAACTCAATTATCAATTCACTTTGATGGGTATAAACCCAATATTGACTGAGTTAACGATTTAGTCAGCTCTTCCCAGCAAAGGTTAGACCTGGCAAACTGATGAAAACTCAAATGGGCTAAGAACATAAACATTCAAAAATGATGCTCCTCAGATTAATCATTCAACACAATAATGCAACCCATGCTATTACTCTAAGCCCGTGTGATAAATTATTTGTCTATAGATCGGGCAAGTGGCAGTTTCGAGGAAGAAACATTAAGGGACCCACACGTTATCGAGTGGTGTCAAAAGCATATTCTATTTGAGTGTTTGCGCCCAATATCAAAAGCATATTCTATCAATGACAAGAAAGTCTAAAAGGCTAAAGTAATTGATTGGAATAAAATCAATCACTGGTGGTTCACATGCTATTGTAAACATCATGTCTACAGGACACTGAATCATCACATATAAATACTCATGTAAACTCTCATTTGAGAGGATCCGAATTTACAGAATGATATAGTCCTATAAGAGGGTGGAACCTTGAAGAGGGTTTGAAACCAACAAACCGTACATACACGGGCTTGCGAAATCCGATCAGGTAGGGAGAGCATGCTCGAACGAAAGGACTAGCGGAAACTAAAAGATGCCCATAAAAAATGTGAGCCATTCCCAAAATGATCTTACACTGCTTTCACATGTATCCCTTTTCAGGGAAGACTTGACGAGGCAAAGGATTACGCCCCTAGCTTAGGATAGTGCTTTAACAAAGGGACATAAAAACTTAAAACCTAGAAGAGGGGCATTGCAAAATGGGTGTTCTTGGACCATGGAAATGCTTTAAAATCATCATGGTTAATTCTCTTATGTTAACCCAGTCCGAACAGCACCATTCAAACAAAAATACCTAGTCAACTGGAGTCGTACACCAATTCAAAAAAATTTAAGTCATTTTGTCTTATAAAAGATTTGCGTAATTGTTTTGGATTAATCATCAAACACATTAATGTAGCTTGGGCTATAACTCTAAGCCTGAATCGTCTATTTAAAGGGCAAGTGTTAGTTTCAAGGAAGACACGGAGGGACCCACACGCCATCCAGCGGCACCTAAAGCATATTGGGTATGATTGTTTGGGCCCATCAATCAATGACAAGGAAGCCTAGAGTGATTGATTGAAATAAAACCAATCACTGGTTGTTCACAATATGCTTGTGAAAGATTTGCGTAATTGTTTAAGTCATTTTGTCTTATAAAAGATTTGCGTAATTGTTTTGGATTAATCATCAAACACATTAATGTAGCTTGGGCTATAACTCTAAGCCTGAATCGTCTATTTAAAGGGCAAGTGTTAGTTTCAAGGAAGACACAGAGGGACCCACACGCCATCCAGCGGCACCTAAAGCATATTGGGTATGATTGTTTGGGCCCATCAACCAATGACAAGGAAGCCTAGAGTGATTGATTGAAATAAAACCAATCACTGGTTGTTCACATGCTACATAAACATCACATGTCTCCATAACACTGAATCATCACCTATAAATACTCATGTAAGTCATCACCTATAAATACTCATGTAAACTCTCATTTGAGGGTATCCAAATTCAGATACTTCTATAGCCTTGTGTTGTCTTCCTTTGTATTTTCTTAGTACACAAACTATTAATAAAAATTAGACTACGTGTTTCCTTCTATCATTTTTCGGTGACCTTGTGTTGTAGTTTGGTAATTAGTTTATAGACATAGCTCACTATCTTCATCTGGTCTGGAACAGTAAGCTCGGTCTAGCTAATTTACACCATTACACTTCGACACTTCATGTGTTCGTCGCACCCTTCCGCCAACATATATCTGGCAACTACAGCTACATCCACCACATATCCAACCATATCACGAGAAAAGAGTATAAAAAGAACAAAAGAAAGGATGTGACAACTTAGAAAATCACTTACGGCCTTCAAAGCCGCCTTTTGGGCCTGAATAGAATCCATCCGTGCCTGTTCTTCTGGGGTTAGCGAACGGGGTTGGGAGCTTGACTGGATGGAGACACTGGATGGCCAACCAGGAGCAGCAGTTGCCCGCCGCCGCGTATCTTTTCTTATTTTGCAGGACCAATCAATTCCTCCGGGATCTGAATATTCCCTCTGGATTCTGCTCCGTTTCACGGGAGGTAAGTATCCCCTTCTAACGAGTGCTGTTGGGCGGAGGAGGAAATACGGATTTCGCATAGGGTTTTGGGATCTCGGTGGGCCTCTATGCTAGAGAAAAAATACATTTATTCGTTACCATTATAATTTTCATCCACAAATAATATAGTATTTATTCTGAACTAAAATAATGAACATTCTCAAATAACTTAATGTTTATATTCAAATAAAATAAAACACATACCATAAATAACTTTTTCTCCGCGCGCTTCTCCTACGGGACCCGACCCGACTAGGATTTTCATCCCTGCGCATCGCCTCCCATCTACTGCAACTTTCTTTCTCGATCTACGCAATCCGACCCGCAACCTTGATGTGTAACGCCGTTCGCTGCTCCTTAGATCTTCCTTCTCCATCGTTTTCGCCGGATTTTTGCCACCGTCGCTGCTCCATCGTCTTCATCTTCGATGCTCCATCGTCTTCGTTTTCGCTACTCCATCGTCTTCGTCTTCGCTGCTCCATCGTCTTTCGTCTTCGGTGGTCCAACCCGACAAATAGAGTAGCGGCTTCAATTCTCACAGCTTCTGTTCCATCTCTAAGGTAATTTTTGTTTCTCAATTAGCTGGTTGTAACGAAGATTCGGTATCACCGGATGTACGATATAATTTGTAGGTAGTGGACTCCTTTTAAAATTCTCTATCAATAGTTTCACACTTTTTATTTTTAAATTTCCTTGCTCATACAAATAAATAAAATGACGTATACGCTTTTCATTTCGAATTAAGAAATTTCATTTTTTTAGTTTTCAAAATAAAATACTCTGTACGGAGTAACACAAAAAAGAATAGAAGAATTAATGAAAAAGAAAGAAAAAGATAAAAAAACTACATTTTTTATTTCAAGTACTTTTGAAATAAATAAAAGTGAAAATTTAATATATACTCACTCTGTTTCAAACTAAAATTATTTTTCAAAATTGAAATAATTTTGTTGGGACTTTAAAAAAGTAAGAATGGAAAGATGAAATAAAATACAGAGTAACAAAAAAAGATAGTTTTAATTTTTTTCCCTTTTTTTCATTACCTTTTTTCAACTCTTTTTTATTTTACTTTATACAAATTAAATACTCCATCCGTCCCAAAATGTAAGCAACAGTTACTATTTCAGTCTTTCGATAACTTTTATTTATTTACTCGTTTTGGTTGACTATTTGATAAAATAAAACATTCTTATCGCATGTTGTTTATCTATTCTTGAACGGTGTAGTTTTTACGTTTTATTTCTCTACCAATTTATAAATAAAATGATTTTAAAAGAGATGATATTTTACACGTTGTTTGAAATGTGGCTTACAATTTTGGACAGGGAGAGTATTTCATTTTATTTTCTATTTTTCATTCTTATCGCATGTTGTTTATCTATTCTTGAACGGTGTAGTTTTTACGTTTTATTTCTCTACCAATTTATAAATAAAATGATTTTAAAAGAGATGATATTTTACACGTTGTTTGAAATGTGGCTTACAATTTTGGACAGGGAGAGTATTTCATTTTATTTTCTATTTTTCATTATTTTAGTTCTCCAAAAAAAAAATATTTTGTTTTGAAAAATAAAAAAAAAAGTTTTAACATGAGATGGAGAGAATATATATTATTTTATTTATATGTATAAGTAGCGAAAAGTAAAAATAAAAGAATATACCTCGTGATAGAGTGAAAGAAAGGATATAAATGTCATTTTAACTATGCAATGGCATAAATGTCATTTGATGGTGGTTTGTTAAGAAAACCAACTCTGCAGCACCATGAGCAGAAGAAGTAAACTACTTACAACACGAAGGAGATAAGCATATGTGCAGCATGTCTGAATTAGATTTGCTGTAAAATTGAATATCACGCATTCTCGGCGTGACAATACATTCCAGATCCCCTATGTGTGGGGGTATACCTCATGGACGTAGTAAAGAGTTCCTGAACAATACATTTAGAGCTTATTCTTTATGTCTGGAAAAAAGAGTTAGATACAAGAAGAAACTAGGGTTGTAAACGAATCGAATCGAAGCGAATATCATAATATTTGAATTTGTATTTGATTAATTTTTTCGAATACGAATCCGAATACGAATATAAAACGAACTAAAAATAAGATTTGTATTTGTATTTGATTAATATTCGAATAGTTAACGAATCCTAAACGAATATTTGAATAATCATAGTCCGTAATTTATATGTCGATTTTGAATAATTTAACTTACAATATTTCTTATACCATATCTAAAAATATTAATACATTTTTGTCTTACACAAATTATATTTTATAAAATATAACTATTAAAAATTGCATGCTTTAATTTTTTGTATTACGTTAATATAATGAAATCTTAGTAATTTAAATGCAATTTATATTATACTAGTTTGTTTGATTACTGATGTTGAAAATATGGTTTGTGTATATAAAAATATTCGAATATTCGAATATCATCCGAATCGAATACACTTCTATTTGTATTTGTATTTGTTTAATATTCGAATCAAAACTAATATTTGAATTTGAATTTGTATTTGAATAACGCGAATTTGAATCATCATATTTGAATACGAATCACGAATCGAATTTAAAATATTTGATTTGTTTACATCCCTAGAAGAAACTGGAAGGAACTAGAGGAAATTGGAAAATTTACTTTGATGGGGGTGTGTTCAGGTCAGGGCAAGGTGGGAGGTTTGCCGGGAGATTAGGGAGTAGGAACCATCAATTTTACGAATTGGGCGCCTCCGGGTCATTCCATGACATTAGTTCCTAATGTCATGGCAAACTTGGTGTAATATATGATTGGACCTAAAAAATGATAAGAAGCATTTAAAGCCCAAAAAAGAAAGTAAGGGAAGGGGATGTGTGTCTGCTCTCTATAGCGGTAAGCCCAAAGTGAATCGCCATTCGCACGGGGTCGCGACCTGCCGACCTCCGATTTCTGAATAGCGACGCCGAAGACGCACCACCGCACTGCGCCGCTGGCTCCGCCCTCCACGGCACCACCATCCAGTACTCTAGGTATGATTTAATCCCTAACTTTATGTGTTTACTCTTTATTTCCCTTTTCAATTTTCATCATTTTACTAGTTATAGTTGATAGGTTGAAAAAATCAATGTCTGATTTGAGTGGTTTCGTCTCTCTGAGTTTTAATTTTTATTTAGAATGATGAATGAATTGCATTTTAAATAAACAGTATTGTTTTTATTTTTCTCTTCTTTTAATTTTTTAATTATTTATAATTAGTTCTAATAGGAATATTAGACTATAGGAAATAAATAATATTTTTAATTTATTTCCTTATCATATTATTTTCTTTATTGTATTGTTATCATAGTTGTTATCAAGCACATTGTAATCCCTATAAATAGGGATGTATCCTTCAATATATCAAGCACATTGCCGGTCTCTATTCACGGCGGTCGATCATCTGACAGCATGGCGTCACTGACCCATCTCGACGAGCGTGCCTAATAGCTTCCGTCCATTATTCCTCTCTCTCTTTCTCTCAAAAAAAATCTATTATTTCTTTCTTCCAAAAAACATGTTGATTCAAAGAACTCGAAAGTTGCATTCATCTATATTTTTCATAGAGCTAGAGAGCATGGAAAACGATAGAGAAATAGAGAACGGCTGACAAAGAGAAAAAAAGAAACTCCTCACCCTCGCTAGTCGCTCCAATCGTCAACACTCTCACCAGGAAAAAAACTCAGCAAACGTAATTTCAAGCTCGTTCGTCATGCAACAAAGATATGACTTTCTACTTCTAGAGGTTATCCTCACAAAACAGCTTCCGTCAGCTCAATTTCAGTACATGTGCTCCAAGTTGCCCTCGTTACCGATGATCAGGTTGCGAGGATATTAGGAATATTAGATAGTAGGAAATAAATATTAATTTTAATTACTTTCCTTGTCATATTATTTTTCTTATTGTATTGTTACCATAACTATTCTCCTACAATGATTAGAACTGTACTCTCTCATGTAATCCCTATAAATAAGGATGTATCCTTCAATATTCAATAAGACTAATTATTATCAAATTGTATCAAGTTCAAATAGTTTTGAATTAAAATTTAAGGTATACTCATAAAGAATTATTGATTTGAAAATGTCTCTGTCTTATTATGAACATATTCTTGATCTAGTAATCTTAGAACCGAGGATTTTTTTAGCTTAATGATCTTATTTTAGGCCGATGAAGTTTATTTCCTTAGACGTGAGATCGGCTTGACCCTACCTCTGGTTTGGATGTTACTTTATTTATTGAATCTCATTTTTCAATTGAGAGTGTTAAGTGATCCAATCAGTATTAGTTGTGCATGTTTACCCTTTAGTAATCTTTATTCAAGGATCACATTTTGAAATCCAAACACTCAAGAAGTATCACATTATGCAAGCTCCCAAGAATGCAATGATTCAATGAATCCATTTATCAAATCACATCGTTGTTTGTCAATTTTTTACTCCCTGTGTCCTAAAATTAACTTCCCAATTTGACTTTTGTGGTCAAACTTTTTAATTTTTGTGGAATACATTGAATTTCTTCAATTTTCATCTGTCTCTAAATTTATTATTTGAAATAAATACGTGGACAACCTTACTTCTTTCTATTCCAAATAAATTTCTACCACACTATTCACCATTTATCTTTAACTTTTCAATATTTTTTTTAAATTTTATAAGCCTTGTTTGGGAACTACATTTTCGAATAGCGTTTTAAATAAAATTTTGATAGTGTAGATTAATTCTGAAAACACTAACGGTAGCTTTTGAGGAGGTCAGTGCTAACCTCTAATGCCAATGCTAACCTCTAACGATGATGCCAAACGGGGACGTGAAGTGAAAGTGTCTGATTTGAGGAGGGAGGGTGTGAAACTTTTTCAGTCAGTTCGGATACATTTCTGGACAATTCATAGCAACCTCAAAATTGAACAAAACAAGGAAACTTCAAGAAAATCATCTGCCATCTTCATTTTCAGCTGCAGAAGAGATAAGGGTCATCAGAACAATCAGTATTGATTTGCTCAATCTGTCGTCACCCTTACTGAGGAAGGCGGCCAGACCGGACCTTCATAACCCGCCCCCTTCTCCCACCGATCCAGTCCGTCAAGAGGAGGAGAAAGGCCACTCGTCAAAGCAGCTGCTGCTTGAGCACCACCATTGCTCATCCAGCAGCTGCCACCCCGCCACTATAACAAGACATCACGGTGTTAGACTGCTGTAAAAACAGCACTCAACTGCTCAAAATTTTAGAATTTTAGGCTTGTTTAGGGTTTATGTTTTTCTATTAACTACGTTTGTAGCAAAGCAATTCTATAGAGGTGTAACTTATTTAGTTATTTGAAAAAAAGTGAAAAGAATCCAGCTTAAAAGTTTGGTAAATTTTATCCTGATTTTCTCAATCAAATCCACGTCCCAAATATGACAATCACTTCCTCGCCTTTTAACTGTAGGATTGGATTTTCCTAGTTACCAAACAGCCTAGCCGAAATGTTTAATTTTGTTGTGTTTGGTTGGAGAGGAGGGAGGAAAAGTGTTATGGAAACCTTTTAATGCTCACCATCCATATCCTTTCTTTCCCATGCAACCAAACACGGCCCTCCTATAATATATGAGGGCATATTTAACTTCTTTTTCTTCTGATCTTATTGAGCCAAAGAGAGTTGGAAATGCGTCTTCATATATTATTGCCTTAACTGATTTCCATTACTTGGTATGCTGTTGTTATTGAGTAATTATTATTTCTGAATCGCATCTTTGGATAATTTGTTTTGAAATGATGATTATTGCTGGTTCTCCACTGACCTATTTTTCTCATTACCCGAGCAGCTAATTAAAGATGAGATGACATGATTCACTATGTTCAATGTTCACAGGCAGAAGATTCCATGGCAGAGATTATAATGAAGTTTTTCATCGCTTCCATGTGTATGTGGACAGTTCCTCTTGCAATTCTATATGGGTTTAACCATAATTTGTTTCCCGGTAAACATCTTTCTCTTATTTGACAGACTTAAAAATACGAAGAATCTCAAACATCTTGCAATTAATAGCTTCAATTTATTTCCATTGGCTCAAAATTCTCTTTGTGGCTTCAACCTTACCAAGTTATATGCATGACCACATCTTCTCCCACTAAATCAATGCATAGATGTAGTTTTGATTTGAATGTCAAGGGTACAAGAGTTGATAAGCTTGGAGAGAGAATTATCTGATGGTCTCAATTAAGGTGAAGAATCTAGAGAAAGACATGGGATGGGGGATTTGATTAGACTAAAAAAATTGTTGTTAACTAACTATAGGTTAAATCTCCTCTCTAGAGTATACGTTTAAAACTTTTGTATGTTTCAAACCTAAGTGTGGATGTTTTCACCTTTGTTAATGATTTCTTTGAAAAGGTATTGCAGACTAAGATGTGTTTTTCAAAACAAGTTAATTAAGCAACAAAGCTAACTAGAAACAGTAGACATTAATTAGTTTATGTAATACAGTAAATGCACTTAGGTAAAACATCAAATTACCAAACACCCTTATTTGATCTTTGACCAATGTCAAACATCTAATTTAGCCAAAAAATCTTTCCAAAAAGTTGTTTGTCAAACATGGCCAAACCCTCCAACTAAGGCCTAAATTTCATCAGCCTTCTGCTTATTACTGTTGTCACCCTTTTTCCTTCATACAGACTCTTTTGATCACTTGTGCCTTTTGCTATGCTGACTCTTTGTGTAACTTAAGCTTGCTGATTTTATAAATCATTTGTTAAACTTAAAAAAATCTTGGTTCAACACCAACAATTACTTCTCTTATCAAATAATCTCAAAGCGAGATCCTATTTTTTCTTTTTCTTGTCTTTTTTCAATCACAATGCATGCCTCTCTCGCGATTAGAAAACCTATCTCTAAGGGTCCGTTTGGTATACGGAATTGACGGAATTGGAATTGAAATTCCATTGGATTCAATTCCATAGAATTGAATTCTACCAATTCCTATTCATTTTTTGCACTATTAATTCCAAATCCACATAATTTTTGTGGTACCAAACATCAGAATTGGAATTGAAGTCCTCAATTCCAATTCCATAATTTGAATTCCGTGTACCAAACGGGGCCTAAGGGGATTCAATAAACTGTTTTCAAACTCGAAATGCAGTGAAATTTGTTATAGCAGGAAGTGATTGGTTGAGGTGAGGAAATATGATTTTAAAGATGTGGCGATACTATAGTTGAGAGGCAATCTTTAATACACCCATTGTGTTCTTGATCATCGTGGAATTTATTTTTTGATGCCTCATCTTGTTGTTATGCTCTGCTTCGTTCGGAACAGGTGTGAATGATATGTCACCCTACTCTATGACATTGCTGAGCGGCACCCTTGCTGTCGTTTCAGTCAATGTGGTTATTGCATTTTACATTTGTATGGCAATGAGGGAACCCTCAGACAAACACAGGCCCGATGTTAAATTCCTGGCTGATGCCAAGGCTAGCATAAATCAGTCGGAACAAAACGAAGCTGAAAATTCATCAGAATGCCACTCAAAAGAAGAATAGGCGATTGGATCTTTGCAGTCCGAAATGGTTTCGGGATCCTTATCTGTGTGCTCGGGGAGGGCCTCCATTGATTGTGAGCTTCCATCATAGCGTTACAGAACTAGCTTGTTGCATTTCCGGGCAGTGGTTGTGGTCGTGGTTGATATTCTAGAGCTTATTCGCTTTGTTTCTTTGTAATACTTGTTCACCACTTGATGGGTAGGTTTATTGGCGTGACTGCCGATAACTTATTTAGCCTTATGTGCTATGGTTGATGATGAAGGGTTGAACCAGATGAAACCGCAGCTGCAAGTAGCCGTTTCACGGTCACACCTCGAGGCCGGAGAATGGTTGTATCAGTTTCATTCATTTTACACTAAACCAATCAGATAATGTCCAATCAGATTAGATTCAATCAAATATAATCAAATTAGATCAAATCAATTCAGACAAACTTTAAAAAATAGTGTTAATATAGATTGTTAATGACATGTCAATTTTACATCAAAATTTAGATTGTTATAATAGACTAAAAACTAAAGTTAGTTGATTGCACAAAGAACATTTTTATACAAGACTTTATGTATGATTTTTAAAAATCTTTACGGTAACTGCACCGATATCCAGTGGGAACGAAGGTAATAGTTTTTTAAGAGTTCAATGCGGATAATCTTATGAATTAGTAACTCTATTCTCTTTAAACACTCCGATTTGTTTTTCAAGTAATATGTTGACCAATGAAATTCCTTAAAATAATATACTTCGTCGTAAAAAGTATTATAAATATTATATAATAGTCTAAATTTTTATATTTTAATTCATTATATATTTATATACATACCTATTCAAACATTTGATAGCAAAGCAAACTTAAATAGTTAATAAATAATATTTTTAGAATTATTCAAACATACCAATCTGTGTACAATATATACATATAGAGGGTAAAGAAGACTTCCCATTTTTGGATTTAGAATTGTATTTCTGCATAAAAAAATGACTTAGGGTCATTCAATTTTATTGAATAATTTATTACGAATTTACTTCTCCCAATGAACTTTATTAATTTTATATTTAATTTTGCTTATCCTTGTGTCTTCTGCTATGCCGAGTCTTTGTGTAACTTAAGCTTGCTAGTTTTATAAACTCATTTGAATCAAATCATCAAAACTTACCTCCTCTTTCTCTTTCTTCTACTCTTCTTATAGGTGAGCATGACACGGTATTTAGCTCATACCAATACTGTACCAAATGTTTCGATTTGGTATGTTTCGGAATGGTTCAGGATCGGTTTCGGTACAATCAGGACTTGTATATATACACACCTAATTCAAGTTTTAAAATGTCACAAAACCATATACTTTTGAAAAATCGAAAGTATATTTAACTAAAGAAACATAAAAAACTAAAAATAGAATACTAAATGCAAGAAGTGCTAATGATACCTAGTTTATATTTCACAAACTAAAGTGAATGAATGATAACAAAATGATATTTTATATGTGTGTTAATATTTTTGCATTCATTTACAAAAAATTGAAGCTCAAGTAAATATACAATGTACACATAATAAATTTCTATCAAATTTTGAAAATGAATGTATTATCTAATGAAAATATATACCGTAAAAAATTATTATTTTTATAATGTATTACGAACTACGTACTATATATATTCGGTTTGAGGTATTCGGTATGAGAAATTACCTTGTGGCTTGTACTGTTCCTAAATGTCAAACCAAACATTCGATTCGACACGATACAATATTTTAGTAGTCTATTCATAATTCTGTGTTTTTCTGTTTAGTTTTCTCAATTTTCTTGAAAATTTTCAACATCAGTACTTGATCACTCCTAATCTCCTAATCTAGGAAAAAAAACTAAAGTAGAAATAAAACCTAAAAAATTGAAAATATATCTAGTCCATATTTTTGCCCAAATTACAAATCTATCTTGGGAATTATTTCCCTTGTCACCAGCAACCTGCGCCATTTCTGTAATTTCCATTTTCTGGTTTGTTTTTGTTTCGGGGACACAAGAAGATTTTATTTTAGGTTCGTATATACATTTCCGCCATTTTTGAATCTTCGGATCTCTCTCATTCCATAGAATCTGATCCCAACCCATTCTATAAGTAGTATAAACACAAATTTATAGAAACATTTGGAATTCCATTGGTGCTCTGGGACGATCAGGGACAAGGAGACGGCAATGGAGAGTGGGAATGGAGGGGGGCACGATACTGAAGGCCCCGAGGAGAATGCGGTTTTCTCGCCGGGATCACTGGGGCGGAGCAAGTATCGGCCGGTGGTGGGGCACGATGATCGGGCCGTGCTCGAGATGTCGTCTATTGATATTGGATCTTCCTCTTCTTCACATCTCCCTCACGATCTGAAGTACGGTACTTTGTCTATCACTTCTCTCTTATACATTACTAAGATTACTAAGGGCACGTTCTTTTGGGTTGAAACTTTAAAGTTGAGTTTGGAAGAAAGTGGGAGGAGTTGAAGAAAATGGTAGGGATCGGAAGAAATTGGGAAAAGTTGGAAAATGTTGAAAAAAATTAAGTGTTAAAATAAAAAGATCACTCAATTAAATAATTACCCAAAAAATATGAAAAACACTAATTCTGGATAAAAAAATTCATCTTTGTTGTTCGTGTTTGAGGCGAAACATTATAAATTTGGATATATGATGTTATTTTATATTTATCATACTTAAATATATTTTTAAGTCGTTGGAAGAAACTAGAAGTTGTAAGAAATTGGAATGAGTTGGAAAAAGGTGGAAGTTAACTTTTCCAAGCCAAAAGAACATGCGCTAATTAGTAAACTATTTATCTTCATATCTCTCTTGTATTGAGTATATAGTCTAGTTTTCTAAACCCAAAGTCTCTGAGGCAAGAGTTAATGAAACTGAATAAGCTGGCCTGCTCTAGGTCGCAGCGTGTGATGGTGAGGAACCCCTCTTGAGGTTCTGGGGTATCACCCCTCCATTTCGATAAAAAAATGAAATTGAAGATTAATTGTAGGCAAAATAGGTCGCATTTGGAGGAGGGTTTGTGTGAAAGAATGAAGCTTATGTACTGCATTATCAATTTGAGCTTAATAGCTGGCCCAAATAAATGGATAACCACAAAGACATTTGTTCTTTTTTTCTTCCCAAGTAGTAATGCATTGTCCTTTATAACTGAAGCTACATGAACATTGGCATAACTCATAAGCATGTTTGATTGGTTCATTCTGCACAGCCTCTGGTAACAAATAGGCAATGCATTCTTTCTGTTCCTATGTAGAGTCAGGAGTATGTGATTGATTTTGTGATGCCTTGCCTGCTATTAAATGCATGTATGATTGCTTGTTCCTCTTTGTTTTGATGAATACTTATTGAGGCATACAGGTTGTATAAATACCCTCATGAGGCATACAGATTGTTTTCTAAAGAGGGGTAGTTAAATTGGATACGTACAGTACCAAGTACCAACAATGAAAGATTGAATTAAAATACTCTAGAATACCTATAGAAATGTATTTATACAGACTTTTGTATTCCAACAACAGATATATTGTTTTTGGCCAACATGTTGACCAATTTCATTGTTCGTAATATTTTTGTCCAATCGTTAATACTTGGTGGTGTTTCTGTCCATTTCCCCCTTTTTATATGTCCCACTATTTTTGTCGCAAACCATATTTAGACATTTAGTAATATTTGTGTAACTACCTTTTTCTCACTTTTTGACTTCAACCACACAGTTTTCTGTTTCTTAAATTGCATATAACTAACCTTTGTTCAAAAAATAGTGGGGGCAAAGGGAGCAATTTTTTATTAATATTATTTGAAAATAACACTTATAAGAAATGTAATACTTTATTTTATTGATTTTAATTTTTATTATGTGTTTCATAGAAAAATAATTAAAGCGATCATTTTTAACACAAGCCTTGTTTGGGAACAACTTTTTTTATTAGCATTAGCGTTTTGGATAAAATTTAAAGGTGTAGATTATTTCAGAAAACGCTAACATTAAAGACTACCGTCAGATAGCCTTTTCAAAACGCTAATGCTAACCTCCAACATTGATGCCAAACGGGGCCATAGCCATATTGTCAAAGTTACACACCATTTATTCATTCACTCAACTAAATTATAAAATATTATAATTTATAGGCTACTTCATCATTAAATATATTGTCAAAGTTACACACCATTTATTCATGCTTAGTTTTCTCGTTGAACAACATCACCTTGGGCTATGCAGTTCTTAAGATAAATGTCCAAACACACTGCATTTGTAATTTTGTAGCAGAGAAGTGTGAAACATTGCAATTGTTAGCACCATGAGCATTGGTGACAGTTGGCAGATCCAACCCAAAAACAACCCAATGAAGAATTATTTTTGACGCAACTCCAAGACATTATAAAAGCCATTTAGGAGTCAAAACTAGTTTAAACTAGTTTGAGGATTGGATACCTTACCCCTACTAAAACAAAGGTAGAGACGCTATTTCGAAAGACTGCCAACTCAAGCATAAAAGACAAAAGTTAGTACAAATGAACATATAGGGGTAATACAAAATTAAGGAAGGGCACTCAACTAAGCAAACACCTAACTATAAATAACTAATCCTGACGACCAAACACACATAGAGAACCTACCCTACAACTATAATACTAGATCTCCAAGGGCTGCTCCTATCTAGGGTCCTCCGCGAGCTACCCAAGCCTCAAGTTTTGTTTAACCACCTCATTATAACTCTTCTTTGGTCTGTTTCTATATCTTCTCCAATTCCCTACATCCAGCCTCTCGTGCTGCCTCTCTAGTGCATCTTTACTTCTCATCACGTGCTTAAACCATCTTAACCTAGCTTTGCGCATCTATCCCCCCCAAATGCCACTCCCATCTTATCCCGGTTGTCCTCATTTTGAACTGTATCTATCCTCATATGATCGCACATCACCACATCAGCCTCATCTCCTGCACGTGTGCTCTTGAATAGTTAACATAAAATCAAGATTGTCAAATCACATAAGTGCTAGCAGTTGCCGATAAAGAACAGTCATGCTTGAGCCTTGAAGAGTTTTCGTTTAAACATTTGTCAGATGTTGGATAATGGATAACTTCAGAGAGCTCATTGTAAATGAATTTTAGTGACTCATTGTATTGCCTGGTTATTTCCCTTCAAGTTTCTTGTCTTTTCATCCTTTACCAAATACATTTCTAGTTTCTAGTTTTACGATTAATAGTCATTTACAATTTAACAGGAAAATTAAAGTTGGGGAGCAACCAAATATGTCGTCTGATGGCAGAGAAGGTACTTTACCTAATCATGTGAATAGGGCCCAGATGGAGTCCAAATTAGAACTATTTGGCTTTGACTCTCTGGTCAATATTCTGGGTCTTAAGAGGTGAGAAGTTAATTTATTACCTTTGTTTCTTCTTTTATATCTTGTATTAAAATGGTTTTGGCTTTTGATAGTTATATTTATCATTTTAATTACTTCATGTTTGCATGATATACATAGCTTAATGAGTTGTGTTCTTTCAGTATGTTAGGAGATCAAATGCCAAGCCCATCACGTCTCCGTGATGGTGACGATGCAACTATCACTATTGGCGGTCAAAGGGTAAATAGTTGCACTTTGAATTTTTTTTTTAAAGATGGTCTATGTTACTATTTTCTAATTATGTATTTTCTTTGCTATTATGGTGCTCCATCGCAGTTTTCCTGATCAGTCCTATCTCTTTCCAGTCATTATAGTTTCTTTTCTATGGCATTGTTGCTACAATTTCTGTCCCATTGTATGTTGGAATAATAGTGGCAAATGTGAGAAAAGGTTTGATTAGGAATAATCTAGATAACATCCAAGTGGCCAAGTCTTTACCTCTCTCTGATGAGTTTAGTTGGTTTATATTCTTTGAAAAGGTACTTATAATTGCATATATTTGCTTGAGGAATCGGAGATAGTTTGTAATGCCACAAACAACACTTTGGAGAGCAAAATAGCTTGAGGATGGTGTTCTTCCATGAACTGTAGCTTTGTGCATAAAGTGAACTTTAAGAAGAAGAAACAACCAGAAACTTTACTTTGAGCGGCTTGAGGACCCTGATTTGCTGCTTTTTTGTTTTTTGTTTTTTGGACACCTAATCCCATCCAGGCAATCTACTTGTGGCATTTGTTTGAGTAATTTAATCATTGTGGGGTTGTCAGAATGTGTGCATGTATGTGTATATTCTATGTAATGGTTAAGAGTTCTTTTAAGCTTTTGAAGGCCTCATTCATACACTTCGATGTCAATTACTCATGCAGCCTGCTGCTGTCAAATCAGGAACACTGATGGGAGTTTTTGTGCCATGCCTGCAAAATATTTTAGGAATCATCTACTATATAAGATTTTCCTGGTGAGTTTCTCACTTTGATTTTAGATTCATTTCCAATTTTCAAATCCTTGTCTGATTGTGATTTGTGAAAAGCTTTTAGGATATGTGATTTTATATTCTGAGTTTGAGAAAGTGGATTTGATTGATTAAAATTAGTACAAGAGTGGCCCATTTATAATAGGCTAGCTAAATATACTAACCTTGCTTACTAACGATGTGGGTTAAACCCATAAGGCCGTAATACTTTTCATTTCTCAACAACCCCCCTAAAACTCAAGTTGGCAAGCTTGACTGAAAAAGTAAATACTCCCTCCGTCCGGAGATGTTCTTCCCATTTGACAATTTACGGTCTCTAGTGTTGCACTTTGACCATTAATATCTATATTTATACATAGATATGTTTTAGAAAAAATTGATCTTTCAAAACTACGTTTCATTAATCATTAGGAATATATTGATATTAAACTTATATCATACCCGGAGAAATTCATAATACAATTTTTTTCCACAAATTAGAGTCAAAGTTTACAAGCTTTGACTAAGAAAAGTCTAATGTGAAGAATATTTCCGGACAGAGGGAGTACATAAATTTTTTCAGATTTAGAACTTTAAAACTAAGGGAAACAACATGTCATTTGAAGATGGAAGCTTGCTTAGAAAACAACAACCTAGTTGAATCCCACAAAAGTAGGGTCTAGTGAGGGGGGTGTGTGTACGGCTACCAAAGAGAGACTGTTACCAAAGAGAACCCCGGTTCAAGCACCACACGTAATCACGGACGCAGCTTGACACCAATGTTTAAAACACAGAGCCGTTGTTTCCGGATGACCCATAATGAGCGTCAAAGTTGCATTGACTAACTGCTACTTCACTATTAAAAGAAGTGTAGACAGTTTAAAGGGTCATTTTGCTTTACTCCATCATACCCCATAGCAAAAAATAGTGAATCTCTGGCTCCATCAGAAATGATAGAAGTGGAAGCTTGCTTAGAACTTGGAATTAATTAGTCTTGCTTTGTTAGTTCTTGAACATTGACAGAATCACTGAAGAACCACTTCAAAAGTAGATGTCTTGTTGACAATCGGATGAAGAACCATAGGGTGTAACTTATGGGGAAAAAGAAATCAACTGTAGCGCAGACTTTTATGTGCTACCAATGTACCATCTTAGTACTTTTGATTAACATGCCAACCAGAGTTACCAGACTTGGACAAAGAGTTACTTCTTTCACGGGGTTCTTTCGACATCTCCGTCACTAAGGAACCTTAACTGAATAGAAGTACTTCAGTACTCCCACAAACAACAACAGTATCCAACACCAACAAGCGGTAGTAGTTCCTCAAGGCACCTATAAATCCAAACTTTAAACACCATAAGTTTTTTGGAGCATATACAAATCATAGATTCAAAACTAGCAGATCAGAAATGGTCCCACCACGATCTGAGCTGAACTTGTGCGACTGCACAAGAGTGACAGCTGAAGCTCAGCTGGTGGTGGCAGGGGAGACCAACAATGCGGCAGGAACAACATAGCATGAATGGCTCTGGGCTGAAAACAAAGTGAGAAGCTAGTTATAATAGTGCTGGAATCTGGCCACCTTAACTATAGAGGAAAAGAGAGACCAAGATAGGTTTTCATCAGATATGAGAGATGACAACCTGAATTACCTGATCCAAGAAAAATAACAAGATCCATGGTCATATCAGTGCGAAGTGCCAACCATGGTCAAAACAGAAAAACAATTAGCTCACAGCAGTTTCTAAAGATTCAACTCAGTGTCTGTAAACTGAGTAGTATGAGGAGGTGCCTCTTGCGGTGGTGTCAGAGGAGCTGCAGCAGTGATGGGGGCGAGTCACCGGCATGGTTGAGACAGAGCTGCTAGGCCGAGGAGAGGGCAGATCTTGAAAGAAGCTACCCTGAACCACAGACGAAGAGATGATAGCTTGATACAGACGAATTTATGGTTTCTAATAGGCCGGATTAAAAGACAAGTTGGGAGAAGATAAAAGCCTTAGTTTAGATACCTAATCCTTCGAATTTAGGCTCGGGTACTATGGACTATGGAGAGAAAGTTGGATTTGATTTATTAAAATTAGTATAATAGTAGCTCATTTATAATAGGCTAAATACAATCTATTCTTGCTAACTAACGATGTGAGACTAAACCCATAGTACTTCCCAATAAAGGCAAACATGTGAAGTTGGGAACTAAGGGTTGAATGAAAAGAATAAAGGAAAATCATGACGGGAAGAGCGGAGTAGTAGACAGGAATTAAGTTGGAGAAATATTAGGTCAGTGCTTGTTTAACTAAATATTTTCTTATGAACAAGTACTACATTGTGATAGAAACAGTAGTATTAAAACCCCCCATCTTTTTCTATGCTTCACCTTCTTCATGTGTCTCACCAATTGTACACGAACGCAATCAATTTATTTTTCTTTTTTTTTCCTTCTCAATATATTATAAAATTGCAGGATAGTTGGAATGGCCGGTATTGGTGAGTCATTGTTGCTAGTTGCATTTTGTGGTTCATGTACATTTCTCACGACAATATCACTCAGTGCTATTGCAACTAATGGTGCAATGAAGGTACAATGGAATTTTCTAGTATATTTTCCACATATTTTTTGTTGAAAAGTAAGATTTCATTTGTTTCGAGTTCTATCTTTTTATAGGGTGGTGGACCATACTATCTTATTGGGCGTGCATTGGGCCCAGAAGTTGGTGTTAGTATTGGACTGTGTTTCTTCCTGGGGAATGCAATCTCTGGAGCTATGTGAGTATGCAATCTGGTTCTATTTTCTTTTTTTGAGGGTCTATATATAGAATATGACAATGAACTTTTCAGTATGCTTGCCTAAATTCAGGTATGTATTGGGAGCTGTGGAAACCTTCTTGAATGCTGTACCAGCAGCAGGAATTTTTAGAGGTATCATATCTATATGTACTTATAATTATGGAAGAGAGTTCTGTGTTGCTAATGGATGAGGGTTTTCCCCCAATCTTGCCCTTTGAACTCTTTTTCAATTTGTAGCAATACTTTTATTTTGATTAATTACTTGGTGCTGGTTATTTTATATTAATGCCCGAGGTAGCCTGATATTGATGCCCATATTAAGAATTTGAGTTCCACTCAAAATTTCAGTAATTTCTTCTTCTTTTATGAGTTCCAACCCTTAATTTTCATTCCCTTGTTTCTTAGGTACAAAGTTTCATGTCTTTGGGTGTGTGTGCCTGCACATTCTTGAACAAAATCATATCATATTCTTGTTTGATGATGCAGAGACTGTCACAAGAGTTAATGGTACAGTGATTGCAGAGCCCATCACGAGACCAAGCTTGCATGACTTGCAGATATATGGGATTGTCGTGACTATTATTCTATGCTTCATAGTATTTGGAGGTGTCAAAATGATAAATCGTGTTGCACCGGCTTTCCTTATTCCTGTTTTATTCTCATTATGCTGCATATTTTTGGGCATATTTTTGGCGAGGAAGGACCATCCATCAGGTTAACATTGCTCAGCCCATTTAACTTATTCATATTTATAAGTTCTCTTGCCTCTGATAAGATGTGCGTTGGGATACATGTTACAACATTTCTTATTTAGGTAAGGCCATAAGGCGGTGTTTGTGTAAGCTATCTGAATATGTGCCTTTGTGGTTTTAGAACTTTTTTTTTCAAGATGTGTTTTTTGATTGAGATATGTGGTGATTGAAGGTTTGGATGATTGTGTGATGAGAGTTACTCCCTCTGTCCCACTAAGTTTGCAACATGGGATGTTGGCACACCAAATAAGAAAAAAGGAATTAAGTGGTTGATATTAAATATGTAAAGTATAGATAAGGTAAGGATGATTATGGACCACACAAACATGACAAATATAAAATGGGACAAAGGTAATGGGATATAAAAAAAATGGTAAAAAGAGACAATGATAGTGGGACGGAGTATACAACAACAACAACAACAGCAACAACAAAGCCTTATCCCACTAGGTGGGGTCGGCTACATGGATCAAACGACGCCATTGCGCCCTATCGTGTATCATATCTGGTGTGAGATTGTTCACACAAAAAGCTTTGCAGCTTCTCATTTTAGTGTTTTGAGCTTTTATCAGAACGCTGCACCAAACACTCAAGATGAGAATATAAAATATTTTGGGAGCCAAAGCACTGAACCAATCATTGCTAATGAGCATTATTTGAGAATGATTTCATGCATGTCTAGACATTTTTTCATATTCTGGTCATGTCCTTTCTTTTAAGTCATTCCTTAGTTTCTGAGATGTGTGGATGGAAAGTTGCAGGTGGGGTGAGGACACCTAGAGCCTTCACTGCCAAGGTGCCACCCTCAAAGGGCTACACACATATATGTTTGTGTGGGTGTGTGGGCGTGGCCGTGTGGTTGCTTTGGTTTTTAAAATGTAATCATCTAACGTGATTTTAACATACTTCTTCTATCCCGAAATAAACTTCATGGTTAGACTTCACATAGTTTAAGAAAATTGTTGAAAAATAAAAAATATTTGATTGAAATTTGTTTAGAGGAGAGAGAAAACATGTGAGCCACACATTTCATTCCTTAATAGGAAAAAGGAGAAGTGTAAAGTTTATTTTGGGATTGAGAAAGAAGAAAAATATGTATAATATATAAGGTGCTGAACAGTTCCACTGCTTGTTTAATATCTTATATACTATATTTACATCAGTTCTAGTATTTCAGAACATATTACTTTTGGAAGTACAGATAACTTGACAAGTGAACTACAACCCTACTATTGTATAAGGAATGTGGAAGAAACTTGTAGTGATTTCACTGTATTAACAATTCTTTCTGAAAATGAGCTTGTACTCACTTTATTTAAGGAATAAGGGGATGGGACATTGTGGTGATCTTTTAATAGTGCAAAGTGTTCCTAAAAATAAGTTTGTGTTCCTAATATTTAATGAATAGGTATGAAGTTGTGAATTGGAACTTGGTTTAGAAACTATTGTAAAAAAGAACCAGTGCTATCTGATCCATGGAGCTAGAGTTCATACCTGAATGAGCCTGCACTGACAATGTATAATGTTGCATGAGTTTGCTAAATGGGTGATGTTAAGTATCAAAACAAACCATAAGTCTTGGAGAAGCAACTATTCAAATGCAATTCAGGATGTTAAAATATTTGCACAGTTTTTGTTTTTTCTAATTCCACTACTAATTCAAGGTGAAGCAAATAGTTATGGTCCTCCACTGAGTTTTGCATGTGCTATATACTTCGCTTGTTTCCATTTTGCTTCTTGCATGACATCCTTCCTGCATATTGTGTGTGTGTGTGTGTGTGACCTTTTCGGTTATGCTGCAGTGGGAATCACAGGGTTGAGTTTGGAATCTTTTAGAGACAACTGGAGTTCTGATTATCAGATGACCAATAATGCTGGAATCCCAGACCCCAATGGGAAGATATACTGGAGTTTTAAGTAAGGCATGCTACTTTATCTTTTTCCTCACTCCCATATTTGCCTGTTATCAATCAATCAACATTTTCTGAATTTTATGTGTTGATATATAGAATTTATATTATGCAGTTATGCTCCCTCCATCCCAATTTATTTTATAGAGCAAATATTTTTCAAGCTTATTTGCAAGCTATCTGCCAAATGCTCTGTTCGCTTATATACTTATTCTGAAGTTGATTCACTATCGGTTCTCCATTTTTCTTCTCGTGCAATTCTTCCTGCAGTCAATTGTTTAATGGGACGTAGTCTTTATATGATTAACTCAGCTGTGGATTTTGTTGATTAATTACGGAGTATTTCTGAAGAACTATGAGGTTTGTAGGTTGTGATACGAGGTGGTGGTGCCCTTTTTCCCCGTTTTTATTATTTAGCATCATACATCGCTAGTTAAACTGGTATGCTTTACCAATATCCTTGTTTTTTGAAAAAGGAAGTTATGTTGCTGAATATACTATATTTGCATCAACAGTTCAACTGAATGTTTCTCTCCATCTTGTCATTAAAAAATGAATTCAAAATAATAATAATAATAATAATAATAATAAATAAATATATAAAATAAATGTAATAAAAATAAAATAAAAATAATAAAATAAAAAATAGAAAATATCAAAAATAAAAATACTGTGCTAAATAATAAAAAATAAAAATTTAAATTACAAATAAATAAATAAATAAATAAATAAATAAATAATGATAATGACGATAACAATAATAATTAATAATCATTACTCCCTCCGTCATAAAATTCTCTTCTCAGTCACTATTCACATGGTCAAGCTTTAAGCAATTTTTTCACCTATTTTTTATTTATTTGATAAAATAATATAGTCATGTCACCTCTTGTCTTGTAGAACTTTTGATTTAGTTTTTGAACATATAATTTTTATTGTTTGGTTTTACACCTATAATCAAATAAATTGAATTGAAAATAATTTCAGTCAGACCTCATAAACCAAACTGGGAAGAAAGTTTTAGGATGGAGGGAGTATAATAGTAATAGTAGTAGTAGTAATTATGATATTATTAGTACTAATAATAATAATAATAATAAAATAAATGAAATTAATAAAAATAAAAATTCTTGAAATAAATAATAAATAAAATAATAATAAATAAGAAAAATGAAAATTTTATATTATAATAAAAAATTAAAATAAAAATTAATGCTTTTCTTCCGCTCTTCCAACCAAACAAGGTGAAGGGAAGCCCTCCCATCCTTCCCATTCCCTCATATCTTTTCCTTCCTCTCCCCTCCCTCCCAACCAAATAGGCCCTAAAGGAAAAGTGAAGTTTATTGTGTAACAGCCCGAAAAAGGAAGAATTTAGTTCTTTTAGGGACGGGGGGAAGTAATAAATAAGTTGAAATTTGTTTACGTAGCCCCCCCACCCCACCCACCTACCTACCCAAAAAGAATCTTAATATTTATATTTCTATATTACTATGATCTAATGTCCACCGCTCTTCAGTGCATTGCTAGGTCTATTTTTTCCAGCTGTAACGGGGATCATGGCAGGCTCTAATCGTTCAGCATCACTAAAGGACACCCAACGTTCTATCCCCATTGGAACCTTAGCAGCCACTGTGGCAACCACCAGCTTATATATTTTTACTGTGTTTTTCTTTGGATCTGTGGCAACTAGAGAGAAGCTTTTGACAGACAGGTACTCTAAACTCCTACCCTACATTTTATGGAGGCATTTGTTCCAACATTGTTTCCCAGAACAACTGTTATTTTTTCTATGAAGTCTGAAAGATTTAGTTGTCTAGATTGAAGGTTTAAGAATACAAATACCCTATATTTGTACCGTTATACACTTAATTTAGGGTTTGTGTGAACTCTATAAGCATTTGAGTTAAGGGCACAAATCAGAATTAGTTTTAGGACAACAATATTCTACAGCCCTCAAGGTAGAGTGCATAAATTATGCGTGCCAAGGTTGTTACAAGTGTAGCTTCTCATAGGACTCTAAGAGACTTGATGCATATATCAGTTGATTAATTGTGAAAAATTACAAGTCGTGCAACAATGCTTCTCACGCATGACCTTTCCTATAACAAAATGTCATTCAACTTCAATACTCCGTATTTTAATAAAATGTCATTCAACTTCATTCAACGTCTGGGCGCCTTTTGCCACTCGACCATGATATCATTGGTTGGTGGTCTTGGCGTGTATTACGGTATATGTTCACAGGGCTACTAGTGACACATGCATAAGTAACACAACTGTCTTTCAAGCTATATTAAGCTCATAACGTATTACTACTAAAAGATCCCAGTATTTCACCTGTTTTATTGTAAGAGTTGCTTTAAAAAGATCAAAGTCATTTTCAAACTATAAAAGTTTAATCTTTGTGCTTTCATGTTGATTTTTACTGCAATTAATAAAAAAAAGGCCATGTTGCGCGTTAAAGCGAAGCAATGCTATGCTGTGTTGATGGGTAGGGAGTATTTCTTGCTTGGTTTGTTTCCTATCATCATCCACGTGTTTTAATTTGTTCTGCTTGGTTTCTTGGAAGATGATGGACAAGGAGTACAGTGCTTTATTTGATTAAAATATTCTGCTAATGATTTCATTTTAAGTGGCATTATTTTCCGTCTTTGGAGAAATTGAACTTCAAATGCGTGGAGCTTCTTTGAATTAAGTTGGTATATGATGTACTGCTATACTGTTTTCACCTAGATTTCTATGACTTGATTTCTTGTGCAGATTATTAACAGCTACAGTTGCATGGCCTTTTCCAGCAGTTGTTTATGCTGGAATCATTCTTTCCACATTGGGTGCAGCTCTACAGAGCTTAACTGGTGCTCCACGCCTTCTTGCAGCTATAGCAAATGATGACATTCTTCCCGTTCTTAATTACTTCAGGGTGGCAGATGGGGGTGAGCCTAATGCTGCTACACTCTTTACTGCCTTTGTTTGTATTGGATGCGTCGTTATTGGGAATCTAGACCTTATCTCACCAACAACAACAATGTTTTATCTTCTATGCTATGGTGGTGTGAACTTATCCTGCTTTCTTCTGGATCTTTTGGATGCTCCCAGTTGGCGTCCAAGGTGGAAATTTCATCACTGGAGCCTTTCTCTTGTTGGAGCACTACTTTGCATAGGTTTGTTTATTTCTTCTGCGGTATAATACTTGGACTAGTGATCTTGCTGTTGATAATTGACTTGAATTCAGTAGGTATTATTATTTAATAACAGGAGTTGTAGCATAATCCCTTTGTCATGTTTTAATCACTTAAGGGGCTAGGTCGATGTATTTTTGCCTTTTTCCTTAAGGGTGTCTGAGCATTGTGTGTACAGACACACACATAAAAGCATTTTTTGGAAGTACAAGTTCATGCAATGAAATTATGACATGCCAACATAAACCTCTACTTTCCACAACTAGTTTAGAACATAATGACGGTGAGGTCACACCTTCCCCACGAGTCCACGAGGGGTTACTAGGTTGTGGCTTTTTTTTTTTTGTTGTACTAACATAAAATTACTAAAATAGATCAAATGATAATTTCGAAAAATAAAAATGCAATAGTATTGGAAAGAGAGACTCTTGAGTCTTGAATTATACTCCCTCTGCCCCGCTGGATTCTTTACCATTACTATTCACGCGGTCAAACTATTTCCTTTTTCTTTACATATTATCATCTATCATATGATAAATAGTATAGTCATGACAATTGTGAACTCGTTGTGTAGATTTTTAATGTAGTTTCTAAATATATAAATTTTATTTTTCAATTTTACACTAATATTTAAATTTGATGATTTGAAAATAACATGAGTCAAACATCATAAACCATACTGAAAAGAAATCAACAGGCAGGAGGGAGCATTATATTATCCAATTTGAGATCCTTCTTCAATCTATAAAATTATCAATTGATAAAGTATGTGCGATTTAATCAAACATTCAATTGAACTTTTCTTGATTTTTGTGATGTGAAGTCATTTATTAAATTGTAGTACTCAAGTTCTGATACCAGTCTTTTCAATAAAAATATAATGATTGCCAGTCTATTACTCTATTATTATTTTTCTTGTAAGTTGTAACATTGTTGAAAGTAAAAATAATGTTATTTACTCCAGATTCAAAAAACTTCTCTCCACTAAAGCTACTCCAATATGTATAGTTAAGTAGTTAACAGTATTTTACAAATAGTCCAAACATTTAGAAATGGATTCAACTTTTATAAAAGGTTAATAGTTTGTTCTGGTTCTTTTATTTTAGCCAGAATGAGTTCTTTTAAAATTACTTACCCAAAAGATAAATCAAACTCATCAAGATCATATGTTCTATCTTGATATATTTTGAATTGTTCAAATCAACTATCAGTTCATGCAATGGATTAATCAACAAGATAATAAGATACATTCTGCAAATTATGTGTGTTAAAAAGTGGTTTAGCCTTTAGGTCTACTTATATGTTAGAAAATGAGGCCCAGATGAATCCGAGGTCAAGGTGTGGGCCTAAACTACCTATATCTAAGATCCCCACTCCCTATTTGAGTACTCATCCTTGTCCCCGTGCAAAGTAGTTAAGGTTTAGGACCAACATGGACTTGATGTTTTACCATTCAATCGTTCATATCATTTTGTGCGCATAGTCGCATACACACATGTTAAATTAACCCTTGTAATAATATTATTTGTGATCCCCACTTATCCATGCCTTTGAAAGTGTATTTACATGTTAATCCTTGATCCTTTACAGTCATTATGTTTTTGATTTCTTGGATGTTCACTGTGGTGGCATTGGCCCTAGCAACTCTCATCTATTACTATGTCTGCCTCAAGGGAAAAGCCGGAGACTGGGGTGATGGTTTCAAGAGTGCATATTTTCAACTTGCTCTACGTAGCCTACGCTCTCTGGGAGGTACATATGCTCTTTATGGAGAGTATTTCCATGTAAACTTCATTTATTGGCTTTTCTCTCTTCACTTGTTTTCCACACTTGTTTCTCTGATTGGTCAACATTATCAATCTTTATTCAATCATACTCTCTCCGTTTCGAAAAGAAGTTTACACTTTGATACGATTTTAAGTGTTGAAAAGTGAAAAATGTGTTTTTGAAATTTGTTTAGAAGAAAGAAAATTTTCGTGAGCAGCATATTCCTTTTTTAAAAAGGGGACGAGAGAAGTATAAACTTTATTTTTGGATGGACAAAAAAGAAAGTGTAAACTTCATTGCCGCACAGAGGGACTGAGGGAGTATTGAATAAGGCAATCTTAAAGGTGCAGATGGAGTTAATATATTTATTAAATTAAATGCCCTTCCTCAGTAGTCAGTTGGATTTCTTTATTGTTACTATTCACATGTCAAACGAAATCTTCTTTTTTACATTTCATCTATCCCATCCCCTTGTTAAAATAACAGTCATGCCAGCTTTTGTTTTATAGAATTTTTATTTATTTTTTAAACATTTAAATTTTACTCCATCCCAAATTCTTTAGCTCTTTACGCAATATGAAACAAAATTTCAAGTTTTTTCAATTCATTTTATTTAAAGATTGGTATAGAAATAAAAAATAAAACTTACATATTTAAGAACTACGTCAAAAGTTCAATAAACCAAGTGGTGACAAGAATATTTTATTTTATCAAATAAGCAATGAAAATGCACAAATAAACAAAAGTTATTGAGAATTTGGAATAGTGCAGTGTGCTATTCTTTTTGGGATGGAGGGAGTTTTTCCCTAATTTTACACCAATATATATTTAGAATGAAATGAAAATAGCATCAATCAAGCATCGTGAACCGCATCTCAAGAGTCCAATGGGAAGGAGGTAGTTTTCCTACAGTTTCCATGTCTTCTGGTCTTTGTTTTAGCATCTGCAGAGATGCCAATGAGGAAAATTCTATTTTTCGCACATCTCTGTGAAAGGTCCAAGCGGACAAATTTTTTGCCGTGAAGTTCTATACTTGAATGAGAATCTGAGCTGCTTTGTGCACTTTGTGCATTCAAATAATCATTAGGATCCTGCTGTAGTCTGATTCAGCTTAATTTGCTGATCACCAGAGTATTCAGAATAAGCAAATAAGTAGCATTTGCCTTACTTGGCTGAAATGGATTCTACCAAACACTTTTTTTCTTTAGAAAATTTAGGCAGTGTTCTTTTCAACTTTATATTCAGGACTGCAGTTTCCACTCTAGTCTCCGGACTCCAGTTACCATACACTAGACTCTAGAACATGTCATTACTCATTAGTAGTTTTATACATTTCAGCCAAAGAGCTCTTGCCAAACAAGCTCTGGACTTTTGATGACTTCTGAGTAACACGCAAACCAAAATGCAATTTTATTTTACAATCTCTAATTTGTATGTTTGTTTTTCTTGGGGTTGTGGGGGTAAACTATTGCAAAACGTTTCATAATATGTGTCTACTGTTCAAACATGGTATCACACCACAGTGGGATGTAGGTCAGTTTTACTTGTCAATGGATGTTAGAGACTACTAACATATGAGATTGTAACTTTATGCAGCAACACAAGTACATCCAAAGAACTGGTACCCTATACCCCTCGTATTTTGTCGACCTTGGGGCAAGCTGCCCGAGAATGTACCTTGCCATCCTAAGCTCGCCGACTTTGCCAACTGCATGAAGAAAAAGGGAAGGGGAATGTCCATCTTTGTTTCTATAATGGATGGAGATTACCATGATTGTGCTGAGGATGCCAAAGCAGCTTGTAGGCAGCTAAGTACTTACATTGACTACAAGAATTGTGAGGGTGTAGCAGAAATTGTGGTTGCCCCAAACATGTCTGAAGGATTCAGAGGCATTGTTCAGACAATGGGCCTTGGAAACCTCAAGCCCAACATAATCGTCATGCGGTACCCCGAAATTTGGCGCCGTGAAAATCTAACAGAAATTCCCGCCACCTTTGTTGGGATAATAAACGACTGCATTGTAGCAAACAAAGCTGTTGTTATTGTCAAGGGACTAGACGAGTGGCCCAATGAGTATCAAAGACAGTTTGGCACCATCGATTTGTATTGGATCGTGAGAGACGGAGGCCTCATGCTCCTCCTTTCTCAGCTTCTTCTCACCAAAGAGAGCTTCGAAGGCTGCAAGATTCAGGTCTTCTGCATAGCAGAGGAGGATTCTGACGCCGAGGAACTCAAGGCCGACGTAAGGAAATTCCTTTACGATCTGAGGATGCAGGCTGAGGTCATCGTCATCTCAATGAAGTCATGGGAAGCCCCCCAAGGGGAGGATCAACAAGACTCTGTTGAGGCGTTCGCCGGGGCCCAGCAAAGAATTGCTAAATACTTGGCTGAAATGAAGGAGGGAGCTGAGAGACAACAAGGCCACGGGACTCCTTTGTTGATGGCTGATGGGAAGAATGTGGTTGTGAACGAACACCAGGTCGAGAAGTTCTTGTACACCACCTTGAAGCTCAACTCCATGATTCTCAAGTACTCCAGAATGGCTGCAGTTGTGCTGGTTAGTTTGCCACCCCCACCCCTCAACCATCCTTCTTACTTTTACATGGAGTATTTGGATCTCTTGGTCGAAAATGTGCCTAGGTTGTTGATTGTCCGAGGATACCGTAGAGACGTTGTTACATTGTTCTCTTAGTAGCTTTTACTATATATATATGAACTCTTTTTACCTCCCAAAGAAAAAAGAGAGTAGGATAATCCAGTGGTCATATTCCCTTTTCTTTGATGAACTCAAATCCAGGGCATAAGGGGAGAGACTTCACCATTTGTTGTCCTAATTCCAATAGGAGAAGGAATAAAACATTCCTGAGTATACCCATTGTATTTCAACAGTGTAATTGTCTGATTCTCCCCCTTTTTTTCCTCCCCTTTTTTGGGGTGTAAAAGTTAGCATTTCTTCTTTTTTTTTTTTGCATCTGAGCATATGTATTTTCAACCATGCTTGGGGTACACCGCATTCGACACCGTCTTTTTACAAACGTTCACAGACGTGGAACAATGTTGGATGTCTATGATGTCTCTAGGAAGCATGATGTCAAATGCCTGTAAAAAACGATGCCTCCAGGACTGGTTGGAGAGTTACTTGGGAGGATATATCCCCGGGGAATTCCAAGGACATTGACACTATGTTTGGTTCAAAAAAATAAGAATGAAAAGAAAAGAAAATGAGTTTCTCTCATTTTTCTCATCAAAATGAAACGAATTTGGTTTTCCCTCTTATTAATACGAGTATATTTTATCTTTTCAATTTCTTTTCCATCCACTTTTTCTTTTTTTCTTCCCTAACCAAACAAGAAAAACTGTTTTCCATCTTAATTTCTTTTCTTTCAGTCAATAAATAATAATGTTTTCTATACTTTTTTTTTTTGAAATAAATACTATATCAATCAGATATTCTTCTAATTTCTTCATTTTCATGCAAATTGCAAATGAAAATACCAAAAAGAAAAATATACATTATAGGTTTCAAGGCCTTTTAGAATCAAACATGGATAAGTGATAAAACTAACAACAAAAAGATACATTACACTTTTCAATGAAAATCAAATGCTCTTATACCTTTTAGAGCAATGCTACGTTCACAAACACAATAATCACAAACTTCACAAACTTACTACTTATTGTTTAAATTTTCATTTTAAAATTATTTTTACACCTGTCAATAAATTTCCACTTTCAGTAAAAAATGATAATGTTTTAAGTACTTTTTTTAAAAGTAAATTTTGTATCAATCAGACATTCTTCTAATTTCTTAATTTTCGTGCAAATTGAAAATGAAAAAACTAAAAAGAAAAATACACATTATAATTTATAGTTTTCAAGGTCTTTTAGAATCAAACATGGATGTGTGATTCTAAAAACTAAAAACAAAAAGATACACTAGAGTTTTCAATGAAAATCAAACTGCTCTTTTATATTCTAAGATAAATGCAGTAAAGTAAAACTTTGTTCGTGGGCAAACAAGAAATGGAATTACATAGAGATTTTGTTGATTTTTATGACTTTTGGATAGCACTACATAGTTACATACAATACACTGAACTCAGAAAGTTAATGTTAACGAATGATTATTAAACACATCAATATTAGCTTTTCTTAGAAGCACTTCTACAAGCAGAAACAGATTACAAAACACAAACTCAAAAACAATCTTTAAACACAACCGCAAACACCCTCGAAGAACCCTAATATTCCCAGATGGATCTTATAAACCTTGAACGAGAAGATGATGAAGATGATGAAGAACGTTTTCATTCATTGATCTATAAATACGTTTTTCTTGTGTTTCGCGCGGGTTTTCCCCTTTGCATTGTCGGGCTTGAGAGCGTCCGCCGTGCTGTTCTGGTTGCTAACCGACCCCTCCTGGGCACGGCACATCTGAGACGACTTCAGTTTGAAGCCGAGCTTCTTCGAGACGTGGGCCCACGCGCCGCCGCCGCCGGTGGTGGGCCCCACCGCAGGCGGCGCCGCCTTGGCGGTGCCGCGGCCCAACTTCTCAATCTCCTGCCTCATGAGGGAGCACTCCCTCTCCAGCTCGGACACGCGGAGCCTCATGCTGTCCATCCCCACTCTCAGGACCTGGTTTTCCCTCACCGCCGTTGCCCAGCACCCTCCTTCCGCCGCCGCCGCCGCGGTGGGTCCCACACCGCCGCCGCCTCTGTCCTGGAGGTTTTCCGACGACACCAGGAAGCAGCCGGCGATCGATGTCCTCAGCTGGAGCTGCTCGAAGAAGAGGACTTGGACTATGACCCTCAAAGGCAGCCTTTCGTTCTGCGCTGCGTGGGTGCAAGCCTCTAAGGACAGCTTCTGGCAGTCCATCAGCCTGCACAGGCTTTCCCGGTCGGATTCGGGCAACCACGGGTGCGACTGCAAACCGCATATATCATATCAATTCAACAAAAGATTTATTTTGATTAGGCTGTGTTTGGGGTATATGTTGCTTTCCAAGTTGAGAGTTCTATGTGCTTTTCAATGCTTTTTGTACCAAAAGGAGTATAGTTTTGAAATGGACAAAAAAAAGAAAGAATGGTATGAATGAAGGACATAGGGAGCATACATATATAATGATAATGATGTCTACTTTGCAAGGGCAAATAGAAGAGGGGCAAAACAGGAAGTGTACCTTTAGATAGATGTCGATGGCGCGATAGAGGCCGTCATCCAAGGGCCTCGCGTATTCGGGAACAGCAGCAGCAAGAGACTGAAACTTGGGAAGCTTCAAGTTCACGTCCGGTGCCACCTCAGCAAGGTACCCATCAATGAGCTTGGCCACCGTAGTGATCGGCGTCAGCGACGCGGGCCCCACCACCTGCCCGTCATCAACCGCCGAGCACGGCGGCGACTCTTCGCCTGCCCCCTGATCCATTGCCAAGAAATGCTCAAGAACCCGCTGCACGCAGTCGACGTTGTACAGAGTCTCCATGGAATGGGAGAAAGTGGGCATCAAGAGGTCCTCAAGAGTGGCCCCATCGAGTTCCATCCCTACCCTTTTCTCCAAGTTCGACACGCAAGTGGGGTCCGTCCTGAGAATCATCGCGGTCCTAAGAAGCCCGAAGAGGAATTTCGGCGGGACCATGTCTTTTTGCATGGGAAGTAACCTCTCCATCTCCTCCAACAAAGCCTTCTGCTCCTCTTCAGAACCCATCCTTCCTTGGTAGCCAATGGGCTCAGCACTTGTTTGACGCCTGTTCAGCCCGGGTAGGTGTTTTTTCGCATAGTAACAAAGGGAACCGGCGATTGTCTTTTGGCTAATGCCACGCAACTCCATAGCTGAAACCAGTTGTTTGTAGTGGCTCAAGCTTAGGGTTGACGCGTCCTCGTACCACCAATCCGAACTTGAAGTTTTGGGCCTCGCGCCCGTGCTTATCCCATTCCACAAGACACTCCCTCCCGGGCTTTGCATGGGCCCGCTGAGCTCGGTAACGGGCCATCCGAATAGGTTCGGGTCAGTACCCGTCTTTGCTGCCAGTGAATCAATGCACCTCTTTGCAATGTGGAGTTGGTCCGCGTCGCACGATTGGAGAGCTCTCAGTGAGTCTTTCCAGCTTCGCAGGACAACTTGGTTAAGAAACGTTTCGGTTGTGGAAATAAGATTCCCCTCCCCATACTCTTCGCTCATCACAAGATGCTCAGCGGCGCTGTTTAGGTGCACGACATTCGCTGCAGTGAGTTCGAGCTTTACGCCGTAGCAGAACTTAGCCACGAGTTCAAAAGTTTTGGCCCCACCGGGAACATCATGGAGCTGAATCACACAACAACCGTCTTCTCCCTCTTCGGATGCCTCTGCAATAAGTCTTTCCATAACTCCACTTCTTGAAAGCAATGGGAACTGCACTCATGTTATGGAGAAGAAAAAAAAGAAATAAGTGTAAATTCCATAAACGGTCCCTTATAATAGGTGTTTTTCTATATTTAGTCCGCAATTCTAAGATATTACATTCATGGCCCTCAATTTTTGAAAACTACTCGTAGTTAGTCTTTTAGACCAAATGTTTTTTCCCCATATATAGTCCCGAAAGGACTGATTATGGAATAGTTCGTGGAAAATTGAGGACCACGAATGTAATATCTTAAAAATTAGGGACTAAATATGGAAAACCACATGTTATAAAGGACCATTTATAGAATTCGCTCAAGAAAATAATAACATCATGCAAGTTAACCGCTTTCGGTTTTGAGCCATTCACATCACGAAAGATGACATTTTTGGCCAAGTATAATGCATTAATGCCTAGGGTGGTGTAAACAGTGGTTTTAACAAGAGAGACTTGTTGTATAGAACAACAAGCACGACAATAAAATTTGGAATAATCGCAACAACAAAATGTTTGAAATATACCTTGTGGAGATGGAAGGACATTTCGCCAACCTCAACAACAATATCACTTGGGAGACCAGTTGTGCAGAACCTATGGTGGGCAAATTATTGAAGAATCACTTGCAAAATCACATTAAGCATTTCATTCAAAACACTTCACTAAGAATCGCATCTCTAAAATGCATTTCCCCGTCTAATTCAACTTAGAACCAACCTTATCCTAACCATGGTTAATCCCCGACCAGGCGCTAAACCAGAGTTAGCAAGCGCCTACGCTTACTGGAGTGCAGCAATGTAATACATGACATTGTAATTAGAACAATTGGAACAGTACACCAAATTCAAAAAATAACAATGAAGATGTGGGAAATTGTACACAAAGCAACACCAGATTTCAACAGAGAATGCTAGCAGTAAACAACAACTTCGAAAGTACTGCAAAATCTACAGATAAATTAGATGACAGAAGAACATAATGAAACCCCAAAACCACTTAGATGACAGAAGAATATAATGAAACCCCAGAAACACAAATGGGTTCTCATTCAACAACATGGAAATGAGATTGATGAGATAGAGAGATTTGAAATGCAAAAAGAAGAAGGTGATAAATTACCAAGCTTGCCCTTTCCTCTGGAACCCATCTGCCTTAGATCCCAGCTTCATACAAGCCATTCCTCTCCACAATGCTGAAAACCCTTACCCTAAACTTCCACCCTCCCTCCAATTTCACAGAAATACCCTTCAAAAACTTCAATTTCTTGGAAAGAATGGAGAAATTGGAGATCCCCAATTCAAAAAACCCTCCAATTTCCACCGTCAACCACCCAAACACACCCTACAACAACCCCCCTCCCCCTTCCAATCGATTCTTGAAACCTGAAACCCACTCCAAAACTAAATACACAATAAATGCCCCACTTGTGAACAAATAAACCCCTCCCAAAAAAATCCAAGCTTGGAAATGTTTAGGGGTCAACTCCTCAGAAAACCCACACTTTCCATTAACGGCGAAAGATCCCAAATTGCAGGCTCTCTGAGAGAACCGAAAACTCTTCTTCAAAGCTCTCTTTGTGCACGTGGGCCCTTAGTTTGACTTTTAAGGTATCTCGCCTCATAAATTCATCGGAGGACATTTATATGACACTCAAAAGAGCTGTTTTTAGCTGTGTTTTTTCTTTCTTTCTTACTTTTTGGATTTTATTATAGTGTTTCTTTTATGAGAGGTCGCGTGGGGGTGTCTTTATTAAGAGGGCTCCGCCATGGGTTTTTTCCAGCAAGGCCACGTCGTTGCAGGATTTTGTCTTTTGCATTTCCATTTTACTATTGTGAAATTTGCACTGGACTAAAATATGTCCTGGATTAAGTCATTTCCTAATGTAGGAATTAAACTTTTTTATTCTCTAAATAGAATTTAATAATGTCCAGTGAGAAGAATAATGCTCAAGTGATGCTGGACATTTAATTGAATAATGACTAATAGATAATGACTAATGGTCTTAAATTGGGAAATAAAAATATATGTTTCTATATTGATAAAGTCATTATGTTTTAGTTCTATTTAGGTAAATTACCCTTTATTATTTAAGCTCCCTTGAAAAATCAATTGAATAAAGCATGGTTAGTGGCAAAGATGAGTCTTGCTAATTAAAAAAAGAGTAAAATATACTCTGTAATTTTTATTTCTGAAATAAAAGTAATAGAGAGTATGTTTTTTTTTGCAAAGTAAAACTATTACACTACGACAATGTATATTGATATTCTTAACTGTTTTTTGGTAACATATGTTCTGTTTTAAGATAAAAATAAGAATGTCATGTCTTAGTTTTTTTTACTATATTTTATTTCCATTTTAGTTTTCCTTTCAAAATACTTCAAACTTTACCGCGTTTGATAATTGAAGATAGACCTTCCGTCCCATTAATTTTTTTTCATTTTTATTTTTTAGACGTCCAAAAAAACAACATACTTACATTATTTTCTATTTTGATAATGAATATCTGACTACCAGCAATGCTTTTTTTTCTAAATATAAAAATATTACTTAGGGATAGTATTTTTATAGTATTTTAGTATATATGTTCGGTTTGGGATTTTCGGCATGGGATGTCACCTCGTACCGTTCCCAAATACCGTACCACCATTCGGTTCAGTACGGTTCGGTTCCTTCTCGATATTTTTTCGGTTTGGTATTCTTGGTTTTTTCGGAAAATTTTGGTATCTGTTCAGTACTTGCTGACCCCTACCAACTACGTCGATGGCCGAGATCATGCAGTGAGCGAAGATGTATGTGATAAAGATGATGCGTGTTGTAGATTGTAAGTTTAATTAAGTCAAATTTGCCACGGATAGTACTAAAAGTCGTCACTTTTCCCATTATGGAACTAATTATCATTTATTCCTTGAATAGTACTTTTTTCAACTTGACTTCCCCTTTTTAGCCTCCCATTCCCCATGCCTAAATCAAATTAGGCTCGTCTCTCTCAAACTCCAGATTTTTTTCCATTTTCTCGCACAACTAAATTCTTGCCTTTCACTGTCTTCTTCGATCGAACAGGATCAACCACAATTTTTCTTCGTGATTCAAATCCGGAAACTCGATGTATAGATCTGGAGAAGAACCAAAGACATTGATGGATAAACAAATCGTTATTGAAAATTGACACAATGTCTCTGTGATGAATCCAAGGACATTAACATACGTATTATACTAGGACATTATTCAACTAGATAGAGGTCATTGTGACATCGGTGATGGGCGACGACAAGGTGGACATTTTAACATCGATGGTAGGCATTGTGACATCAGTGGTAGATGGTCGCAAGATAGACATTGTAACATCGACGGTGGACATTGTGAAATTGACGGTGGTCGGCGACAAAGTGGACATTTTGACATCGGCGGTGGGCGGCAGCTATGATAACATTGACGGTGGACATTGTGACATCGGCGGTGGGCGGCGGCAAACTGGACATTGTAGCATCGGCAAAAACATTGTAACATCGATAGTGAGCGGCGATAATCTTTAGCGCGGCTCTCTCTCTCTCTCTCTGGCTATAGACCTGGATAGGTCGCTGGATTTTCGAAATTCAATGTCTACTGGATTTTCGAAATTCAATGTCCACTTGCTTTCCAAAAGTGTTCAATGCCCGCTGGAATCTCAGAATTCAGTCGCGGAAGAGTGTTAAATGCCCAGATCAATTCTTAAAATTCAGTCACATAAGAGTTGGGGTTATATTAGTCAATTGGTGTTGCTGACGTAATTAAAAAAAGGTTTGTGGTAGTACTAGTCCTATATTGGGAAACTTGCATTGTTTTAGTACCATTTTTGTATTTTTCCCTTTAATTAAACTATTGAATTATGTTAAAGAGTATCCCACATTGGAATTTGTAGAGAAAACAAATTAGTGTATAAACTCTGGAATTGAACAAAATTATAATTAAATGTCTTAAATTACGGTTCTCTCTTATGAAAAGAAACATGTGGCAGATATTGAAAGGAAACAAGTGAACCACCAAATCCATTCCCACATTTCATCTGCTCAAAGTCCAAACCAGTCTTCCCAAGTCGCAATATCGCAACATCTTCCTTCCTCCTCCGCGTCCTCAAACCGAACACGCACTAGACCTGCGCAAATGGCCGATTACTCCAAGGCCCACATCTGCCAGTGCCTCAGACGCATCTCCACCGTCTGCCGGAACTCTCCGGTCACGATTTCCGGCGACAGGAGAAAGACCGGCGCTCAGTTCGTCGAAGGAGTTCTGAACCTGGCGCGCGGGCTTCTTCAGATGGGCCTGCAGCGCGGTGATGTGGTCGCCATTTCTGCTCTCAACAGGTTCTTCTTTTATAACATCCGCTCTTAATTCCATACTCGGATGAATAATACTCACTCACTGCCCAAAGGAAATTTCAATTTGCTCTTTCGCAGAGTTAAATCCAAATGAAAATTGTTTTGCTCTTTAAGAATGCTAATTACTTCGCAGTATATCACATTTGTTGTTATGGTGTAAATAAGCAGACACTAGTTTTTACAATCACATGAAATAGTGCTCGATATTCAGATACTCTCTCCTTCCTGCAAAAATCTATTCCCCGTCCCAAAAAGGTCTTAATGCTGTTTACCATGTTTGACTTGAGTTCTTTTGTAGTTGGTTTATTTGAAAATTAGTGTAAAATTAAAAATAAAATTTATATATTTCAAAAATACATTACAATTTCTCCAAAGAAGAGGTGACATGAGTATTGAAAATTTGAAATAGACAAAAAATGTGGAAAAGTTTGACCATGTGCATAGTGAAGGGAACTTCATTTTGGGAGGGAGGGAGGGAGGACCTTTTTAGGTTTATGATGTTTTGTCAACATTATTTTCAACCCATTGTATTTAAAACTTGGTGCAGAAATAGACATAAATTTATAATTTATAAATAAAAAATACTACATCAAAAGTTACAAAATAAGAGGTGACTTGGCTATTTTAATTTTTTCAAATAATCATTGAAAATACGTAAAGAATGAAGATATATATTTTGACCACACCAATATGAACTTAGAAGATTTTTGTGGGATATAGGTAGTATGAGTACATGGCCCGAGAGAAGTTGTAATGTTTTTTTTTTAGCTCAGAAAAAGCCCATATACTCTTGAGTGGGATATACTGGTTTTATTTTGTTTGGTTTGGTTTCAAATATGAGGGCATCTTTGTGTAGAAGTGTAAAGTTATTCAAATTTAGATATTCTGTTACTGCACATTGTGTGGTAGAATACTGTTGAGGTAAGAGCAATCAAAATCCAATGAGGGATTCCCTAACGAGCGCCAAAATGGCGTGAAGTCTTGGTGTTTGGAGCTAAAAATGCTCCAACCCATGTGCCATTTGCTGCACAATTTTGCCAAAATAGTAGAAAATGATTAGTGTTCTGCCATTTGTGAGCTGTTTTTTTGTTTTAATTTAGGAAGTTTCTTGAACTCAACGTTAAAGAATGAGATAGGCGCTATGTGGGCGATGGAGGATTGACTAGGGCCTAGACCGCCAAGGCGCCCTCTAAGCGATATCAAGGTGGACACCTAGACAGTGCCTAACAATAGGCCAAACATATACTCTCTATGTTCTCAAATTAAATTCACAGTTTTCTTTTTTGTCTGTTTCAAAATAAAATTCATATTTCTTCATTTTCTTTTCAAGAATGAAATATGTGGCTCATAACAGCTCTCTCTCTCTCTCAAACAAATTGTAACCTCACTTTTTACTTTTCACAACTTTTTATTAAACTTCATTATTGACTTATCATTAAAGACATGCTCAAGTAAAAAATGACATTCTAGCTAGATTTAATAACATTTGAAATTATAAAGGGATCTACATAGGCTGTCTAGGCCCGCTCTAAGACTGCCTAGCCTATGCCAGGTGCCTAGGCCGACTTTTGAGCCGCCTAGGCTAAAATTGGGGTAGTTAGGCACAACGTATCTCGCCTTATGGAACACTGCTTCAATTGTTCAAATATAATACGGAGTATATTTAAGAATAAAATATACTTTCTTGGTTCCTAATTAAAGTTCTTGGTTTGGATTGAAGCAGAATATTAAGAAAATGAAATTGTGTAATTGAAATTTACTATTTAGAAATGAATGAAAGAATATGAACCACAATTCTTTTGTTTAAAAGAAACATGAAAACAGCATGGACACAGGCCAAAAATGATTGTAAACAAGGAGTAATACACTTTAAGTTTAAAATACTCCATAATAAATTAATAGTAACTCAAATACAACATAAAGAGAATGGTGATAAAAAAAGGTGAAAAAACTTTATGATATGATGTTTACACTATTTTGGTGTGAAAATGGTGATTTGAGTTGGAGGTGGTTTTAGAGGTATGCAGATGGATTTTGACTGTTGCACATTTTTTTTTTTGCAACAGCGATTTGTACTTGGAGTGGCTGCTTGCTGTTTCATATGCAGGAGGAGTTACTGCTCCACTCAATTATCGCTGGGTAAGTAGGCCAACAATGATATATGGATTGTGTTAAATTTTATCCAATTCTACACTATCAAGGTTTTGTTCAAAATGTTCTATACTTGATTTTTGATATTTGAATCTCAATTTTATGAATTTGATTTTCATAAATTGTGAAAATTTTATTATGAATACAAATGGGATGGCAGACCAAATACCTTGTACTTTTAATTTTTTAACCTGCTTTGACCAGCAAAATGTAGTTCATACTTAATTTGTGTGGCTGAAACCTTATCTGGTTTTTTCTTCAGTGTTCTGACCATTATAAAAACCTGAAGCTTCCCATTTGCTACATGTACTTCTGTCCAACTTTCATATGTTGGCCTATACATGTCATTAAGGTTAATTAGATGGATATCCCTCTGAGATTTTGTCTATTGGAGCGCATTTGATCATATTAATTGCTCTGAGCTTATAGAGCTTGGAAGAAGCAAGTAAGGCCATGGCGGTGGCAAGACCTACATTATTGGTCACGGACTCTACATTGAATGTGTGGCATTCCAACTTCCATATAGATTCTATATCTTCTCTAAGATGGCATGTCATAATGGATATTCCTTTAGGAGTGAAAAGCACCTGGACTGGTACGGGTTGGAGCTTCCTTGCCTTTGAGAAGTCAATTAATGCATAACTAAGGTTTTCTCGTTCATAGATATATCTCCTGTCTTTGAGTTAGTGTATTTTTCTTTATTGTTATATTCTAGGGTTGAACACAGAAATGCTCAAGATCCATTATAATTTATGTCTAGCAACTGATTACTGTTGGGCACCAGAAGGAGCTGCTATCATATGTTTTACATCAGGTATCCATACTTCCTTTAATGTTTTCATTCCTTGTCTCCTACACACATACTTTCTTATGGTTTTTTCTTTTTTTCTAAATGGCAATCCACAATAGGAACCACTGGCAGACCTAAGGGAGTTACTTTAAGCCACTCTGCTTTGTTAGTACAGTCCCTTGCAAAAATTGCAATTGTTGGTTATGGAGAGGATGATGTACGGCCTCCATGTGCTAAAAGAAAAGATTAGATGTTATTTGATGTATCCTGCAAGGCTGCAACAATCTAAACTCACAATTTCTACAGGTGTATTTACACACGGCTCCACTTTGCCACATTGGAGGAATATCATCTGCCTTGGCTGTCTTAATGAGCGGAGGTTGCCACATCTTTATGCCCAAGTTTGACGCTGGATTGGCTGTTGAGTCCATTCACCATTATGATATCACCTCTTTAATTACTGTTCCAACTATGATGGCTGATCTAGTAACATTTTATAGGTATCCGAGATATAGCTTTTATATTTAAAATAGGCATATGTGGGGTATATGGTGGTAACTGGTAAAACTTAATCGGCATTTACACCTGGATGTCATCTTGGAACCTTTTCCTAGCAAAACTGTAGAAGAATCTGTCGGAGTACTATACATGCTCACTGTGAACATGTTCTGCTTTGTAGTTTTGCAAGAATGATTTAATGTTGCCATCCTTTTTTAAGGTTTATAAGTATGGGTAAAGTTGATAGATATCCTAATTATGTTCTGGCACAACAAGAGAAGGTTTATTTTCTCTCTAAGTTTTTATAATTCCATTTCAAGTTTTTAAAACTTCTACAGCAGAAAGGGGGCACCTGGAAGGTCAGAAACAGTGAAGAAGATTCTTAATGGGGGTGGGGCCCTTTCAGTTGAACTTATCACTCAGGCAGCTAAAATATTTCCAAGGGCTAAACTTCTTTCTGCATATGGTACGCTCTAATTATTACTGGTATTCAGTAAATGGCAATCTTGCATACAGAATTAGGTGTTTTATTATAAGTGGTCAGTTGCCAGTCAATAAAAGTTTCATTGCTATTTTTTTAACAATGGGGGGATTGATATTGGTGAAAAGGACTCTTAGGGGTCATGAATGAAAAATTGTTTGAATAGAGGTATGAATTGTCAAATCCCCACTTAGTTAAGGACCAGAAAATGATATTTCATCACCCAAAGCTTCTTGTTTTAGCTGCTTTCAAGGGGATGGATAGCGTTGAAGCTTAGCCATATAGAATATTTATCTATTCAGTAGATTCTTGAAAGACATGCAATTTTACTGTCTAAGCAGCATGCGATTGAGATTTCAGTTCATATGTATAGGTTTTTAAGCCTTTCCGAGTATTAATATACCTGATTCTGTTATGGACTTATGGCTGATGTCTATTTTACTTGAAAAAATGCGAAGGGATGACAGAGGCGTGTTCTTCAATGACATTCATGACGCTCTATGATCCGACAAAAGGAAGTGTTAGACAGCAGCTCCAACTGAATGTTGGTGGAAACTCCAAATTTTCAGGCCAACAAAAGGGAATCTGTGTTGGAAAGCCTGCCCCACATGTTGAATTGAAAGTTTGTTCAGAGGGTTCATCTCATATTGGGAGGATACTAACACGAGGCTCTCATGTAATGCTTGGATACTGGGGCCAAATATCAAACGAAACTTTCAAATTTGTGGGTGACAACTGGCTCGACACAGGTGACATAGGGCATATAGATGACCATGGCAATATGTGGCTCATTGGGCGTTCTCAGGGTCAAATCAAGAGTGGAGGAGAGAATGTTTATCCTGAAGAAGTAAGTCATCATCATAAGTTTACAACTACCATTCTCCCCATTATGTTGAGATCCCTGTTAAATAAATTGTTTTTATTAATTGTTTAAAATTAGTTTCACATTACCGTTCATATCATCCATAACAGCAGAAAACAGTATAACCTAATCTGCCTCTTGATAGTAAGACATATTTTCACAGGAAACCTTCCAAAATTGCTTGGATTTCTATTTGAGAAGCAATCACGTAAAGGTAGATTAGTAGATAATTAAAAAGTTTATTAGACTTGTATTTATAAAGGGTCAGTGCGATAAGAGTGCAAATGCAGTTTGATTAGGTAGTTGCTGTGTAAGATGTGCTGATTAACTTGGTATATTGTAATCTTACTTCCAGTCTTCCACACCAACAAATGAATACCAAGCAGTGCAAAATGACTAGGATACTGTGTCTAAGTTGCATTAGAACAGTGTTTATGGCTTACCTAGACTGTATATAAACTTGCTGTGAGTGAAAGTTGTACCCCATCCCAAAAACAAATTACTGTTTGAAAACATTTTCTTTGTTTTTTTAAAAGTCATATTTGTACAAAGAAGAGTCACTATCATCATATTTGCACAAAAAAGTGTCCCAAACAAGTTGAGTCTGTATAATATAGTTAACCAACAACATGACGAATAAATATCAAAATATAACTATATTTGATTATTTCCAATAGTTGTACCTTTCTAAAATTTAAAAAGTTCTATCTTTTTAAACCAAACTCTTTTTATGGGACAGAGGGTGTAGTAAATCAGTGAGACACTTCGGTTTAATTTTTTTTGTGCATACTGAACTTGTTTAACTTTACCAGCAGAGTTAACATAAACACTATTTTTTTATTGTCATTGATCATAAAGAACTCTTTGCCGCCTCTAAAGCCTTAATCACCATATTTTTCTTGTGCAATGTGCAAAAGGTAGAAGCTGTCCTGTCACAACACACTGGTGTTTCTGGCAATGTAGTTATTGGACTTCCAGATTCGCGGTTGGGAGAGATGGTCATTGCCTGCATTCAGCTCAGGGGCAATTGGCAGTGGGATGATTTGAAATCCAATCCATCATCAATTAGCTACCCCACAAACTATTTGTCTGCAGACATCCTCCGGTGCTTCTGTAAAGAAAAACAGTTGACTGGGTACGTCTTTACTTCATCATCAACAGTGATTAGGTGTAGAAAACCCAGTTGGCTAGGTGTCTATAATAGTTCACCTAGCCCGCCTAGAACACCTAATTGGGTGTCTAACCAACCTGGAATCGAATCTGTTTAGGGTTGCCTAGTTGGCATAAAGCAGGCATAACAACAACCCAATAGGATCCCAAAAGTGGGCTTATGTGGAGGGTAGGTGTACACAAACCTCAAGTCCTCGACCTTACCTGAAAAGGTAAGGAGCTTGTTTCCAAAAAACCCTCGGCTCAAGAAAACTTGAAAACAAGTGAATATTGAAAGATGAACAACAACAACCACCCAACATAATTCCAACATTGTTGGGGTCTGGGGGGTGAAGACGTACACAGTTTTACACCTGTAAAATACAGAGAGTGTTTTCTTTAGATCCTCGATGCATTGCTGCGTTAACTACCCAAAACTTCATTGAAGGTAAGAAGCAATGGAAGTTTAATGTGTCATTTTAATTTAGTCCATTATTTACCCAAAGCACAACCTTTGTCAATTACAACTATTTTAGCTCCATTGGCAACAAACATATATTGGACGATTAACAATAAAAGTAAATTACCTAGTGGAGTAAAGTCCAGACCCTACTCTTGTGGGATCCAAGTGGGTTGTTGTTATTGTACCTGATGGAGTAAAGAAAGGAAAAGTAAATATCCACACACAAACAAACAAACCCCTACAAAGAAACCCCTCCACCCCTATTATGACGATGATGGCGGTTTTATATTTATCATCTCACTGTTCCTTCATTTGGGATAGGAAGGTCATGTCTCTCTACTTCTAAGTAGGGGTAAGGTCTACGTACGCACACTCTCCACACACTTCACTTTTTGTGGCATTTGACCGGATTTGTTGTTGTGATATGAAGGCCATTCGGCATAAAACTTTGCCATTGTTTTGTTTGTTTTTTTTTTTCTTCATGTTTTTTTGCTTGAAAAATACTGTTACTAGTTTTAGAGAATTAATGTCACTATAAATTTCATGCTACTGACCCAGAAGCTATGTGGGCTTAATGTCATGATAATGATTTGTGCATTTGTATATTTGATGCATCGTATTACTTTAATATTTCCAGGTTTAAAGTACCAAAGAAATTTATTCTCTGGAGGAATCGGTTTCCAGTGACAACAACCGGAAAAATAAGAAGAGACCAACTTAAAGCAGAAGTAATGTCTACTATGCAGTTGATGCCCAGCAAACTTTAGCCACGGTACTTAAGCTGCAGCCTGGGGAGGTGGTCATTAATTGGAGTTGTCCACTCTTGACTCTTCTACCATATTATATGGTACGTTTGGTTGTACCTGGTTTCCTATACATCCAATGGGAGTTTTGTTATTTGTTGTTATCTACTTGGGTTGATTATAGTAACTCCGTCCTAGAGTGTTTGTCAATTTTTGACTTTTTGCAATCAAAATTGATGAACTTTGGCCCTTAATTAAATAAATTAATATTAGGTATTGATACAAAAGTGATTTTATTAGTTGTTTTGTAAAATAGTTTCAAAATATTATTTTATCTAATCAATATACCATGTTATTCTTATTTAATTAAAGGTGAAATGTCGATTTTGATTGGCTGGAAAAAGTCAAAATTGGTCGAATACTCTAGGACAGAGAGTGTATCTATTCCCATGTTCCGATCTTTCCATTTTTTTGACCCATTTCTTGGGTAAAGTCTCCCAACTATATTTGAAAATGAATTGGTTATCCATAAAGATAAAGAAAGTTTTCTTGTAGTTCCGCTTCTTGCAAAAAAAAGAAGAAAGGCTTGTTGTAAATCGCCGGTTGGGTATGAGTTGCTAGAGAACAGAGATTCGTTTCACTATGTTACACTCATTTCGTTGAACATAGTTCAACACTATGTTCAACAACGAACAACGAATCGTTTCAAATGAGTTGAACGTAGTTAGACGAATAGTGAAATCCAACCAAGAAAGACATGGCATAAATAAAAGATTGGCTGCTTCTAAAGCTCTCTTTCTTCTCTTATGATATTTTCATTCGAAAGAGAAGGAAGGGCGGGAGTTTCAAAGCGTTCAAGTCTGTTTTGGGTCACGTCTTTCTTGTTTCATTTGTCTCTTCTCGATCTTCTTCTTCTTCTTCAACCATCATGGCTGGTCTACGTTTTTTTAATGCTATTAACTCTATTAGAATGTACCGAGTAATATCTTTTCACACACTTAATCAAAATACTAAAGCACAAAGAAGTAATGTTCGTACTTGGGTTTGGATTTGTAACTTCTTGGTTAGGAGAGCTGCATTTATCAAAATTTTTGGCTCTCTATATTACTTCCTCCGTTCTAATTTAAAGTATCCGTTTTGGTTTACGATGTTTGATTGAAATTATTTTTAATTTGTTTTACATAAAAATTGGTGGAATTTAAAAATAAGATTTATTCATGAGTAGTAAAAACGAGCAAACAAAGTGATGTTTGACCATGTGAATAATGTATGAGAAGATAACACTTTGAAGATGTCTCTCAAATCAATTTCTTTAAATCACACCATTAAGAAAGTTTATGCTCATGCAACATAGGAGGTCGAATTCATGGACGAAAAAGATACAAATCTAACAAAGGTTAAAAAAATACTTCCTCCGTCCACAAATGAACTTTACGTTCACTATTCACAGAGTCAAACTTTATTCACTTTGTTGGCCTATTTTTGTCACCCATTTGATAAAATAATATAGTCATGTGACCTCTAGTTTTGTAAATCTTTTGATATAATTTTTTAATATGTAATTTTTATTTTTCAATTCTACGCTATTTTTCATATAAAATGATTGGAAAATAACTTCAGTCAAACATCGTAACGCGTAATGTAAAGTTTATTTATGGACAGAGGGAGTATAACGGTTAATAGAAATAGATACCAGCAAATTATATTATACATCTGCTTGTACTCAATTTTGGGTACAACCAAAAAATTATTTATGGTATAGATTTTATTTTACATGAGAATGAACACTAAATTATTCGAGAGTGAGTACTGTTTTGTTTTAGAATGAACATTACATTATTTGTAGATGAATATTATACTCCGTAATTATATTGAATCAATGTGTGAAAATGAGTAATGCATTATTTTAGAATGAGTACCACGCTAATTATATTTGTGCGAGAATGAGTACTACTCTACTTCAGAATGAGTACTACCCGAATGTACCGTACATCTGGTTGTACCATATACCTTATCATAGATACCGAGTACTCTGTACTAAATTTGATTTTAGAAATACTTAAACAAATGAATTTCTTGCAGCAAATTAGATTCCTCATTGTGAAATATACCCTAGTTTATTCAATACCAAATCAAAGCTTGTATTGGATGGGGGTAAGCGGTGTTTTGTTCGTCTAATCTGACCTGACTGATTTTTAAAGATGATTTTGAAATATATCTTAAGTGATATATGGAAAGGTAATTTTGAGACAAAGAGAGTATATTAATATTAATACATAAAGACAACAAAAAGTAAGAGTATGTAAAATCTATCAATTGGTTTTAAGCTGGTTACTTAAATTATGATATTATCCACTTTTAATAATTAATTTTTGGGTAGTGAAGAAATAAAGTCACACTATCACAAATCATAAATGATTTATCAATTAAAGAGCATAATACAACGTTATTTGACTCATATAACTTGTAAAAGAGATCACTTAAAATATAGAAGTAAAATATAAAAAATTGCAAAATAGGAGCTTTGTCTTTTTAGCTCAAAAATAATTTGCATTGTGACAATGTGGCACTATGTATGAAGTAGTATTTCACAATGTTTTTTGGTATCATATGTTGATATTATTGGCATTGTAACCCCATTTTGGACATAAAATATATATAAAACTCTTATTTTAGTATTTTCTTTGTGTTTTACTTCTAATTTAGTATTTTTCTAACTTATAATTGTACATTAGTAATTTTATATCTGGGTCGAGCCAAAGTTTGTTTTGTCTGTGCATTTGGCCAGTAGTCTATTTTTTAAAAAGGTCATGTTAAGGATACACCAAAATGGCTTATCCCATTTGTACATCAAGGAAACACAAGTACTAAATTGAAAGAATTATTTGGGAGAAATTTCTCTCGTATTTCTGATCCTTCCAATTTACAACCAAGGCACGTATATATAGATTCTCACAAGCCGAGAATCCTCACTAAACAAGGAAAGGGAATCCCTATACAAGTAAACTACTAATACAAGGAAACTACTAATATATACGAAAATATATGCTAAATATATTCTTTCCTTTTACACCCCCCTCAAGTTGGAGCATGTAATGCTGAAATGCCCAACTTGGAAATAAGAAACTCCAGTCGTGACTTCCCAAGCGCCTTTGTATGAATATCTGCGAGCTGATGCGTAGTAGGGACATGCAACGCGCGAATCTCTCCTCATAAAAGTTCATCACGAACAAAGTGACAATCAATCTCAATATGTTTCGTGCGTTCGTGAAAAACTGGATTAGCAGCAATATGAAGAGCTGCAGTGCTGTCACAACGAACAGTCATAGGGTTCTTATGTTCAACTCCTAGGCATCGCAACAAATTCTTCAACCACTTCAACTCACATGTAAGAACAGCAAGAGCCCTATACTCAGCTTCAGCCGACGAACGAGCCACCGTCGTCTGCTTCTTTGTCTTCCACGAAACAGGTGAGTCCCCAAGCTGCACAAACCAGCCTGTCAGCGATCGCCGTGTTGAGGGACATGTTGCCCAGTCCGAATCACACCATCCTGTGAGCTGAAGATTATTATCTGCAGACAGGAAAATACCCTGCCCAGGACATCCCTTCAATTAACGAACCACTCCAAGTGCTGCAGACCAGTGATCCTCCCTAGGTTCCTTCAGGAATTGTGCTAAAGTGTGTACTGCATAAGAAAGCTCTGGTCGTGTAACAGATAAATATACTAACCGTCCCACCAAACGGCGATATGGTTCCGGATCTGTCAGAAGGGGAGCTTGGGAACGGGCCAAATGATGATTTGGCTCCATGGGTGCACCTAATGGCCTGGCACCTAACAATCCGGCTTCAGTAATGATATCCAAAGCATACTTTCGTTGGCAGAGAAATATCCCAGACGTGCTTCTCGCCACCTCAATGCCAAGAAAATATTTCAGTGTCCCCAAGTCTTTCATATGAAAACAATCCCCTAGATATGCCTTGAATTTGCTCACCATATCTGAATTATCTCCAGCAATAATCAAATCATCAACATAAATCAAAACATGTATGACTCCTTTCTTTCCAACGAAAGAAAATAAGAAGTAATTAGGAACAGACTGGACAAACCCACAGCGTCTCAAAGCTCCAGACAACTTGGCAAACCAACACCTTGGAGCTTGTTTCAAACCATACAAAGATTTCTTCAATTTGCACACTACATTAGAAGAATTAGAAAAACCTGGTGGCAGTCTCATGTACACTTCATCCTCAAGATCTCCATGAAGGAAAGCATTGTGTACATCCATCTGATGCAACTCCCAACCCTTCGCAGCTGCAACAGCTAGAAGAGTGCGTACTGTAGTTAACTTGACCACAGGAGCAAACATTTCCTTGTAGTCAAGTCCCTCAACCTGATGATTGCCCAGTATAACCAATCTCGCCTTATACCTCTCCACACTACCATCAGACTTGCGCTTGATTTTGTACACCCACTTGCAGCCCAGGGGCTTTTTATGACGTGGAGGAGCAACCAGCGACCACGTCCCATTAGCTTCCAATGCATCAATCTCCTCCCGCATAGCCTTCCGCCATCGCTCATCCTGAAATGCCCTTTTAAAATTTGTGGGCTCCACTTCCTCATCAAGTTCCGTGAGAAAACACTTGTGTTTATGAGAGAACTTTTCATACGTGACATACGAAGAGAGTGGATATCTGCATCTTTCTCCGCTGTGTGGTCCAGTGACATGGGTAACATAGTCCGCAAGTCTAACATTTGGGCGTCTTTCCCTGTGACTACGCCCCAAAGTCTCTACTGTTTGCTGGGAAGAGGACGGTCGACCGCCATCCGTGGAACGGTCCACGGGGTCGACCGTCTGCAGCATCGCTGGTTCATCAAGTTTCTGCCTCGGGGACGGTCGACCGCCATCCGTGGAACGGTCCACGGGGTCGACCGTCTGTAGCTGTGCTGGTGCGTCAAGTTTCTTCCTCGATGACGGTCGACCGTCCTCCGTGGCACGGTCGACCGTTGAATCTTCTCCTGAGGGTCCGTCATTCTGCCCTCCCGACGGTCGACCATGGTCATCGGCACGGTCCACTGGGTCGACCGTCTGTAGCTCTTCCGCATCTCCATTGCCCGGCAGGCGACCGTTCCTCCAGGAACGGTCCAGATGGTCCTCCGTGGATAGTTCCTCAGCATCTTCAAAGTAATCGGTGGCTGAGTTGCTCCTTAATGCATCCTCTCTGGGTGTTTCACCTGTGGAAAATAAGTAAGGGAAAATATCTTCACAGAACATAACATCACGAGACACACTGATCTTTCCGGTGTCCGGAAATTAAACACGCCATCCCTTCTTTCCTTGTGGATAACCCAAAAATATTCCAGGAATACTTCTAGGTGCAAATTTGTCTCCATCTCTCTTCAAATTGTGGACATAACATCTGCAACCAAAGACACGAATGTGAGTCAGCGGCGGTGACCTTCCATAAAGCTTCTCATACAGTGTCACCCCCTAGCAACGACGAGGGTGTCCGATTGATCAAATAGGCTGCAGTTTGTATACAATCTCCCCAAAATTCGATCGGAAGACCGGCTTGAAACCTCAGGGCACGACCCACATTCAGAATATGCCGATGCTTACGTTCCACTCTACCATTCTGTTGTGGTGTAGACACACAGGATGTCTCGTGAACAATTCCCTTTTCTTGGAAGTATTCATTCAAGCACTCAAATTCTGTCCCATTATCACTACGAACACATTTTATTTTCTTTTCAAACTGACATTCAATCATGGCACAAAATTGTTTGAAGACACTTCCTATAGTACGCTTAGAGTCAAGCAAATACACCCATACACCACGAGAAAAATCATCCACAATAGTCAAAAACATCGTAGATCCATCAAAGCTCGGCGTCCGATAGGGACCCCACAAATCACAATGCACCATATCAAATTTATCCATAGATTGATTAAAACTAATAGGAAAACTGGTACGAGTTTGTTTGGCACGTAAACAAATATCACAATGACTATGACTACTCTTATTCGATCCAACTACAGGAACTAAGGATAAAACATGTGAAGAAGGATGTCCTAGACGCTTATGCCAAACATCAAAAGAATTCTCCTTCGTAGCACTGCACGCCATTCTCCTTTCCTCCTTCTTTAGATAATATAGTCCTCCTTCTTGTCTACCCACACCAATCATTGTCCTCAACCTTAGGTCCTGTAAGACACACAAATCATTGGTGAACTTCGCCTCACAATTCATATCCTTTGTCAGCTGTGACACAGAAATCAGATGACAATTCAAACTTGGAACAAACAACACATTCTGTAAAGTCATAGTCATTGTTAAGTCAACCTTTCCAGATTGAACGGATACAGCCCGTTTTCCATCAGGCAAACCAATTTCACATAGGGACACTCCCACCACATCATATAACAATGATAGATCACCTGTCATATGGATGGACGCACCAGTATCAATTATCCAACGAGGTGATACAAGAATACCTGAAAGTTTTTGAGAATTATCGGCGGAAGAGAGTGAGAGAGCATGACGAACAGCATTCCACTGTTCAGACGTTAAATCCTTAAAATTGGGCAGTGGAGACGGCCCTTCGCCCTGCACTGCATGTACTTCACTTCGGCCGCCCGTGACGGTCGACCGTCCAGCACCCACGGTCGACCGTCCCGCTCCTCTTCCTGGACCGCGGAAGTTTCCTCTCCCACGGTTGTTCCCTCTTCCTCTTCCAGCCTGGTCTCAAAATATCCATCCCTCTGGGTTTCCAATGAGCTTGTAGCATCCCTCAACATCATGTCCTCCTTTGCCACAGACGCACCTGCCTCCTTGCTTTCTCCTTTGTGCATCCCATTGCGTGATATTTCATCTTGGACAAGAATATTGTATATTCTTGCCACAGGTGGTATGGTTTCTTGGGCAAGCAAGTTCGACCGCAAAGTCCCATACAACTCATCATTCAATCCCATCAGAAATTGATGAGAATGTTCCTTCTCACGCATCTGCGCTAGCTTCTCCTGCAAGTTGCACGTGCAATTCCTACACGTGCAGACTGGGAATTGTTCTAAATCTGCAAGATCATCCCACAGCTTCTTCATTTTTCCATAATATTCCATCACGGAAAGGTTCTTCTGTTTGCACTCTGCTAAATCCCGCTTCAACTGCTGAACCCTGGGTCCGTTAACGACAGAGAAGCGAGCCTTCAGATCACTCCACAGAGCTGATGCCTTCTCCACAAAAGAAATACTGGATCTCAAGGCGGGATCGATCGTGTTCCGAATCCAAGAGACCAACAAAGAGTGGTTTGTCCACCAATCATCGAAATCATCCGAATCGGGATCAGGCATCTCGATTGTTCCATCAACAAATCCAAACTTCTTGCGTGCTCGAAGAGCCAAACGCAGAGATTTGGACCATTCATCATAATTATCCCCTTTCAGAACAACATGGGTCAAAATCATACCCAGATTGTCGCTCGGGGACAAATCGTATGGAGAGATGCGTCGGCGACGCACCCCAACTTCCTCTTCTTCTCGTTCCTCGTTCTTTTTATTGGAAATAATCTTCATGTTCACCTCCTCGGACATATCGGATGTCTGATCAAAAGTAGGGCAAAATCGCAGCGGCGATTAAGAACAACTGTCGTCGGGACGGTCGATGACCTCGACCGTTCTTTACTAACGGTCGACCGTTCCGGCGTCTGGCGGCAGCAACAGGTTTTTGAGCGATGGACGCGATGCCGGTCGATCAAGAATAGTGGCTGCGGAAATTTTAGGTTTTAGGCTCTGATACCATGAAAGAATTATTTGGGAGAAATTTCTCTCGTATTTCTGATCCTTCCAATTTACAACCAAGACACGTATATATAGATTCTCACAAGCCGAGAATTCTCACTAAACAAGGAAAGGGAATCCCTATACAAGTAAACTACTAATACAAGGAAACTACTAATATATACGAAAATATATGCTAAATATATTTTTTCCTTTTACATAAATGTCTGTGTTTGTCTGATGTACAAATGAGTACACCATTTTGGTGTATCCTAGTTTTATTTTTTAAATCCACAATGTGTTGAATTTTTGGCTACGTTGACAATTTAGGTTAGCGATAATTTACGTTTGAAATATAGCTTGATTGAAACATCTTTTTAGGGATATGTGTAAATTATTCGACTATATGTGTGCATATATAATGTTTTACATTATGTTGACATTTGTTTTACACTTAAATTTTACCATGCTTAATTAAAAAAATTGATGTGTTTATTCACTTTATTGTTGAATAGAGACAATTTGACAGAAATTGATATTTTTAATTCAATTTATTTAGAAACTATAAATAACATTTTTAAAGAAACTATAAATGACTTTTGATTATATTTTTTCCTCAAATATTCTACATAATATTTGTTTAAAGATGTACTACGTATGAAGTATAACTTTTCATTTGAATGTGTAGTACTCCCCCGTTTCATTAAATTTACGACACTTTGGCCATGTTTGAAAAAAGAATTTTGGATTGGCTTTTACGTAGTAGTTTCTTTGATTGGCTTTGATAATTTTGACTAAGCAAGCAATCCAAATTATTATTTGACAAATGTCATTTTCACTTGGCTTCTCGGTCCGAAAAGCCAAAATCTAAAATGTTAAGAAGAGTAGCTTTTAGATTTGGCTATCCGAAACAATTATTTTTTTGTCATTTTTGTTAATAAATATTTTTAAAATATTTTAAAAATGAAAATAAAACTGAAAATTAAAAATACAAATTTTAGAAAATAAAAAATTAAATTAAATGAGAAAAAATCATGATTAAAAATAATTGTTAGAAGAAATTTTAAACTAAAAAGTAAAATAATTAAAATAAAAAAATAAATAGGTTAAATATGTTTCTTGTCCTCGTAAAATTAACGACTTTTGTTTTTGGTTCTTCTGAAATTGTTTAAATCAAATCATCTCCGTAAAATTAATATGTTTTCAAATAATCCTCCTCGAGTTTAAATATGGAGTATATGTTTTGATCCTTTAAAATTTATAAATTTTATTTTTAGTCCTTTTAAGATTCATTTGGTTTATTAGTTCATATTTTAAATTGTTAAATACTCATTACAAGATTATTTTATTCTCTATATTAAAATTAATTTATTAAATTACAAGATAAAAGTAAAATAAATATTTTTAGAAGCTTAATCCAATAGCTACATCATTATTACAAATTTATTTAAAATTTTGGTAAATTAATACGGAGTACTTTTGAAAAAAATATTTAGCCAAATTAATATTTTTTTAATAAAATTATTTATTATCAATCTGATGTCTTTAAAACACAGATCTAAGACCCACTTTGATGAAGATATTAGTTTCATTGCTACTCATATATGTTGCTCCTCCTCTTTCTCACAAAGCAAACAGCTTAGTATCAATATCCATGTTTGAAAGTTGGTTGTCATCTAACGCTTGTTTGTGTCAACTATTTTGAATAGCTAATAAGTTTAGTTGACTTGACCAACTAGATGTGTTGGTTTAATTGTTAAAAAATGTTTGGTTCAAGAACTACAACAAAAAGATATTACTCTGTCCAGTTAAAAAAATTTGCTACATTACGTAAAGTGAATTGAAATTTTGAGTCTTTTCAATTCATTTTATTTAAAGATTGATAGAGAAAGATTAAATAGAATTTATATATTAAAAAATCATGTTAAAAACTCTTCAAAACAAGAAATAACAAAAATAGTTTATTTTATTAAATAATCCATGAATACGTACAAATAAAAAAATTACCGTAATTTTTGAATCACATGGATTAAATTGTAATAGTGGTGCTAAAAAAAGTCAAAATAAAAGTTGAAAGGTAAAAATTTCCCATCAAAGTGAGTGAACTGCTAAGCGGCGGATTCACCATAACCGAATCCAGTGGAGCTGTAAGTTCAAATCATTCCTTCCCCACAATCTCTCTCTCTCTCTCTCTCTTCTTAAACCCTAAATTCTCCCAAACCTTGGTGGAGCTGGTGGCGGAGAAGGCGGAGGTGTTCCACAGCCTTAGTCAACGGAGGTCTTATATTGCCGGAGTACCAGAAGCCTTGTAAGTCTTACGCTTGATTGATTCAACTGGAGTTTAGAACTTCTGAATTTCAAATAATGTTTAATTGAAGACTTTCCGTTCTTTGTTTTGCTCAATTATGCTCATTTTAATGCCTACATGATTTATGGTCTGTATCTATCTATGGACCTTCCTGAGCTCTTTGACCTGCTTCACTTTGACTTGTCTTCTGCAATCTTGTAATTTTTTTTTCCCGAAATGAATCTTTCTTTTGTATTTTCAGGAAAGATTATCGGCCGGAATGGAGGGCCAGGAGGTATTGGAGAATGGTGTGGTTGGAAATGGGGTGGCGGCGAAGTCTTCTTTTTCTAGCGGCGAGTTGGAGGAAATTTTCGACGGTGTAAAGGAAGGCATGAATTTGGGTGATGATATTTTGCAGGACTTTGATTTGTACTGGGATGACATTAGTGGCCGGCTGATGGTGTCGCGGATGGTGAGTGATTCTGTCATTAAGGGGATGGTGGGTGCTGTAGAGCAGGAAGCGGCTGAGAAAGTCAGGGCCAAGGAAATGGAGATGGCCAAGTTGAAAGAAGACATTCAGTTTTGTGTCACGGAAGTTAATGGAGTTGGGCGTCTAGGATCATATGCGTTGTCTGATAAGCAAGAAAGTGTGCAGCATTTTACCTTTTCCGGAGGGTTCATGGAGAACGGCGAGATGATGGACTCTTCGATTAGACTTAGAGGCTCTGTAAAAGAGCAGTTTGAGAAACTTAAGAAGGATATTTATGATGTCAAAGACCATCATTCGCTTAGGAGGATAGGTTCTGGCTCTGAGTTGGTGGGACTGAGCGGTATTCTCCAGGAAAACAAATCTGAAAGCTGGGGTCAGGTAGACAAAACAATGAACCGCCTGAAAATGACTGTTGATAGTGTCTTTGTGTGGGTGGATGATATACTTCACTTGTCAAAGGCGTCAGTTGTTGAGTTGCAGAAGGAGAAAGACCTTCAAGGAGAGCTTGAGAACATGGTGATGCAGAATCTTTTGAGGAGTTTTCTGGAAGACTTTGAGAACAAATTATGGGATCAAAACACTCAGTTGTGCAACAAGCAGATTGATAAGCTCAGTGAAATTGCTAGGTTACGGGCTGACTTGGATGGTATTTTTAGATCATTGCCAAGCGCCGAACTTGGGAATCTGACATCTCATGGATCACATGATATGGATACATTTCACAATAAGGTTTCGAGAGACCATGTTACACCTCCAAAGTCTCAGGAGGAAAATGGTAAAATAGAAGATTCGAGTACTGATGTACCCAAGAACTTTGAAACTGCGCAATTGAAGCACTTATCCAAGGAGGATTTAGTAAGCTACTTTAACAACATGATAATAAAAATGAAGAGAGACCATGAGTCCATTTTGCAAGCAAAAACAGAAGAACTATTTACTTTAAAAGCAGAATTCCTTAGGCTTAGGGAGAGAGGTTCATATGTGCCGCACAAGAAGGACAAGGAGCTTGATGTATTGAGGAAAAAGATCCCTGAAGTTCTTTCAAAACTGGATGATATCCTTTTTGTGAATGAGAAATGTCCTTCAATCCCCTGTAAGGATGAAAATATCTGCAACTTGAAGAATAGGCTTCAAAGCCTTCTTTCTGAAAATTGTCGTCTAAGGGACTCACTAGCACATAAAAAAAATGAAGTGAATGTTCTTTCCTCCCAAATTTCAGATGCTACTGAGCAGATGCATAAGCACTCTATGGCTGAAATGAAAATGCAAAAGCTTATAGATAATCTCAACTTGGCTGTTCAAGATGTAGATATAGAAGCTTCAATCAGGGAGGAAGTATATAAATGTTTCATTAGGGAACTCAGAGAAGAGTTATACATGCAGCTTCATATGGCACGAGAATTTCATGAAGCTATTTTTAAGGAAGCTGCTGTGAATGCTGAAGGTACTAGCATAACCGAAATAGGAGATTCCGACTGTGAGTCTTTGATCATGCAAGAAATGTTTGCTGTGATTTATGGTGAAGCAGTCATGGATTTTGAAAGAAGTTTCAAAGAGTTATGTGGAGATTTTTTGAGGGAACGTGACACTCGAATTTGTCTAGAGTTGCAAGCTTCTCAAAGGGAAAATGATTTTGCACTGGAGGCTGATGAGAAAATTAAGTTGAAGGAAGAGCTTGTTGCACTGAAGAAGTTATTGGAAGAAAAAGACAGAGTAGCAACTGTTGTTTCAACTGCACTGGAAAAGGTGAGGAATCAATTTGACCTGGTATCTCAAGAGTTGAATAGCCTAAGAGAACAGCTCACCAACCAGAACAATTTAGCTTCTGAAAACTCCAAGGAATTAAATCTTGTAAAGGGTCAATTAGTAGAAGCATCAAATCAAATTGAAGTATTTAAGGAAAAAGCAAATCTGTTGAACCAAAAGCTTGAACAAAAGGTGGAGGAGTTGAAAGAAGCTGATGGTCAAAGAAGAATGGCACTTGCTCTTTCAGAAGAGAGGCAAAGCAATTTGTTTTCACTCGAATCCAGGGAAAAAGATTTAAGAACACAAATGGATGCCATAAAAGGGACTATACATGAGCTGTCAACAATGCTTGCTGAATTTGAGCTTAAGGTGGCAAAGAGAAGCAATACAAATGAATTAAGGTATGCATTTAAAATTCTTGTGTAATTAGATGTGGTCCTTGGATTCAGTGGGGTTTCAGTTGGTTTACATTTTATTTGTTCTTTTGCTTTGTAGAAGAAATATGAGTTTGCTAATTGCTGTACAAAGGCATATAATTTCTACTTTCCGTATCATAGTTGTCTCACATTCACTAATAATCGGCAGGCTAATTTTCTTGGTATGATTTATGTTATAAATCTTCATGGGTTTGAACCACTTTTCGTAATATGGTGTGTTCATTTCCCATTGTTCACATGCATACTCCAACTCTTAGAAAGCAGGGATCTTGGAAATGGGTATCCCTCAAGCTACTCAAGTGGTTCAAAAGACATGAATTTTATAATTTCATATTTACATGACACGATGTTTCTAATATCATCTATGGGGAGCGGGTGCATTTATAGAGCCTTATTTTACTTAATTAAATACTTTTCTTGCTACTTTTAGATTGGAACATTCACAAACTCAATTGAAATCACTCATCAAGAAGGCAAATCTACTTAGAAAAAGAGCTTTGGCCTGTCAACAAACACTTGAAAAGAGATCTTCAGACCTTCAATTGGCCGAGGCAGAGGTAAATACCTACTTTCATGCTTTATCAAGGTGATGAATAATAAAATGAATGAAGAGGATTTGGTATTTTTTTTACCAGTTGCCATATTCTAGACACACTTTAGATACTTAAATTCAGCAGTGTACTATTTGAATCACTTAAGTAACTTTTCAATGAATGCTAATAGATCTAATATACGTTGTATGTAATTATATGGTGAATTATGTAGTGTTTCATGTTTCTAATTTCTATGGTACTCCCTCCGTCCAGCTGAAAATTCCACCTCTCCATACTTGACTGTCCCAAAATACATTCTGTCTTCTATTTTGGGTCAAAAGATAAACCTAGTTTACTATGCTTTGTCATTTTAAACAAAGCGCAGTTTTATCTTTAATATGTGTGCCCTCAAATAGCATGTGCATGTAACTTATGCTGTACATTTGAAACACAGGTTGATCTTCTTGGGGATCAAGTGGATGTACTCTTGGGCCTACTTGAAAAGATCTACATAGCACTTGACCATTACTCACCTATCCTGCAGCACTACCCTGGGGTTAGATCATCGGTCTTTAAGAGAAATTCAGTGATATGATACTCTTGTTTTAGTTTATTTTCTTTTATAGCTTACTTTAAAAAAATAAAGATGCAAAAAATGATTTTTTGTTAAATTTTTTTTACACAGTATGTAAATTATAAACATGACTTTGGTAATGCGAATGTTTATACTGTTAGTGTAATCAATGTTACCATGTTTTTTCCTCCTTGTTTACTCCTTACTTTTTACCTTGGCGTAGGTCATTGAAATTCTCAAGCTGATCAGAAGGGAATTGAGTGGAGAATATACCAAAGCCGTGTGATTGTTTCACTGAGGTGAATTTTTTTCTACTACCCTGAGGGGGGATTATCTCAAGGGTTATAAAGAGAATGCTTATTTGAAATACATGAAGTTTCTTTTCTTCAATATTCAAGCAAATGGCAAGAAGTTGTCACTCAATGCCCCTTGTTTATGACTAATCAACTACTTGGCCAGACCTTTCAAGTTGAAATGGTGGCACAATTTGTTCTTTCAGTGCATATCGAAAGTGGATGGCTGGTGAGCTCCTAACTCTGGCTTTAGATTTAGGGTCCGTTTGGCATTTCACAATGCAAGAACAAATTTAGTTTAGTCAGAGGACTTAACTAAATTTGTTGTTCCCAATTTCAATTCTATAGTTCGAATTCCGTGTACGAAACGGAATCTTAGTCATTTTGGAATCTCTTGCTGTTGAAGATGAAATGTTGATGGCGGCGTGGCGGGCCAAGGGCTGGCGGCAGCCGTAACAGAGCAGTGATAGGGGACTTACTTAGACTTGTTAGTTTCTCTTTGTACATATATATTTAAATGTGCTTATTAGATATATTCTGAATTTATTACTAGTATAATTAACTGGACGTAAAATAAAATCTGGTTTGTGTGTTCACCACTTTTTCAACTGGTGCAGTCACTTGTCACTTGATTGTTTTTGAAAAGGGCTAGTTTTGTACACACTCATTTTGAAAATTATAGAGAAGTATGATTTTAACTTTGTTGGGGTCTAAAGGATCCGCCTCTGCATACAATCTTGCCTCTGTGAAAGAGTAAAGTTTATTTCGGTTAGGCATTGAATTGTATAGTTTTGCATTTACTGTCTAAAATTTTACACAAAGTATGAAGGGAATTTAATGTGTCATTTTTTTATTTATTTAGTTTAGTCACATAAATAGGGTCTCAGGAGGATAGAATATACTACTATGCCATCCTTACCCTGTCGTCTCCTAAAGATTTCATTCTTTTTTTGAATGTCTCAAAAAAAAAAAAAAGCTTTATACTTTTTTTTTTCTCTTTAAGAAATTGAACATAAGCCCCATAAAAATTTCTACCTTATCTAATCACACTCCTACCGCTTATTTTTTCATTTTCAACATTTTTAAATTTCAAAAAAAAATCAAACAAAATATGCGATAACAGTACACAAATTTAAAGCCCAAGACTTCCACGTCACACTCACATCCACAACTGACAATGGTCCCACGTCATTACCCTAAAAAATCAAGCTACATGAAGAATGGAACAATGTCGAACTCATTTAGAATAGTGAGCTATTATTCAAATTCACTATGGAAGACAAGAGGAAAGTGTGAGTGTTGAACCAAAAGATTGAAAATATTGAACGATTCAAACTTACACATCATAACCCAATTATTTTTTTATTGTTACATTACATCTTTGCATGATACACACGTATTTGCGTTCTTTGCGTTTTATTTAGTGACTAATTATGCGACGTTCTTTAACCAAAAGACTATTTCAAAACCATTGAAAGTTCGAGGAGTATTTATTCACTAATGAAAGACCACGAGGACTATTTATGCATATCCAACAATGCATCAATGGTCGAACATGTGTTTTAACAAGAATAATGTCGCGTACATCTTGACTCCGCCATGGATTATACTCTGTTTGTTGTTGTGGAAGAGTGCAATTTCAGAGTTCAATGAGTTACAACAACAACAACTAGTACTACTACATATGAGCATCATCCCAGTTGATTGAGTTTCCCTCGAAACCAATTTCTCCATGATGCAATTTGTTCCGAGCCAGTCTACTCATCATCGCAAGACCTGAGGTTCAAAATGGTACCAGTAAATATGTTACAATGCAGGCAAATAAAAGCTCTACACATAATAGGAAAGCACCTATCTGTTAAAACCTTAATTGGTTTGGAAACCCCAGAAGACTGCGTGCCTTCGGCGGGGTGTTTCTTGTAATGTTTGGTAATTTATCTTCTTACCACAAATATCCCTTATTTTCTTTCCCTATATAAATGCCTTTTAAGTCATTTGCATTGCAGCACCAACAACTCAAACAGACTCCCAGAATCCAAAATTTCTCAAAAAATGTCAGAACTGCAACACCAAAAGCTGGAAACTGTTCAAACGAACAACACCTATAACGTTTGGGATAATCCAAGTGGGTACAAGTCTATGCTCATTATCACATGACTTGATAGCAGAAAAGACATCTGATCCAACGTAAAACAAGGCTCATTTTTGTATGGATATATGTCGGCTAATTTTAGACAATTGATTGACCACATTAATTCTCTAACACCAACCCCAACATAGTTGGGATAAGTGAGATGTTTATGATGGAAGGAAACGGGGCAAGTGAGAATAGTTCTTCCCGTGTGAATGTTGAACACTTAGCACAACTCGGTTGCAAAATTTTCAGCACAGCACACAGAAAGGGAAGGCCCACTTATTCACAAACATTCCATTACGATCTTTCCCAGCACTGGGAAGTATGGTATGTAAGTTCACATTCTTAACTGATCACTCCCCTATGAAGGTTATAAGATGGGTCAAGTCTATCTTTTTGTGCAAGCAATCTATTTTTTCAGGGGACTAAATGATGAACTGTTCTACTAGACCGATATAGAAACAATTAAGCCTTTACCTTCAATCATTCGGTACAAAGAAGACCACCATCTATCTCCAGATAAATGGTAGTGCTCCAGAGTCTCTTCAATTGCTGTGTCATGCTTCCCCTCTAACACCCCCTGTAAAGTGATTACGGCATCCTTGGTTCTCTTGACAATATTATCGTCATCTTCGATTTCCAAATGCAAAAGGTCATTCTGTGATGAAGTTAGGTTAACAGCCAGTGCAAACTGGGTGGCAGCAACCCAGCGGGTGGAGGCTAACCATCTCCTTTGCCCATCTAACAGTTTTTCCTCACCGGCTTTCATATCATCTTTCTCACCAAGTACTAAGCTTCGTAAATACTGAGCATTAGCCCCCCCTGTGCTCTGAACCATCCGAGAAAATGCACTTTCTTTGTCTTGTAACAACACCTTTGGTGTACCATACTCCAAAACCTGATGAACGTATACATAAATTCATGTATGAATAAAATAAATGGACTTTTGACAACTCATGCTTTTATTATCATTATCATCATCATCATCATCATCATCATTATTATTATTATTATTATTATTAGTATTATTATCATCATCATCATTATAATACGGAATAATAAGTATTATTAAAATTATCATTATTTAATTGACCAAGGGAAATGATCTTTAAACTACTTGAGGTGAAGGGGATTCTCTACCAACCTGACCAGAGTGAAGCAGAAGAATTCTATCACAGTCAATGATAGTATTCAAACGGTGAGCAATAATGAGCATTGTGCAAGACTTAAATTCTTCTCTTATGGTTTTCTGTATAAGTGCATCCGTTCTGACATCAACAGCAGCAGTTGCTTCATCAAGGACTAGGATCTTTGATCTACGAAGCAATGCTCGGGCAAGACTTAATAGTTGCCTTTGTCCAACACTGAAATTTTCTCCTGCCTCCGACACCTTCATTCCACACACATCATATTGACATGTCAGCAGAATTTAAGCCAAGGCATATAGATTTGCTACTTTGAATTGTGTCATTATAGCTTATAGCTTTGCCAACACATTTTTGTTGTGAAAAAGCTATAGAAACAAAGCTTTATGGGTAGATTGTGATGGTTAAATGAAGAGTAAATTCCATAAATGGTCCTTTATCACAGAGGGTTTTCCATACATAGTCTCCAATTCTAAAATATTACATTTGTGGTCCTCAATATTTGAGAACTATTCCATGATCAGTCCTTTGTGGACTATATGTGGAAAACAATATCTGGGTCAAAGAGCTTATTATGGTATAGTTCTCAAATATAGAAGACCACAAACGTAATCGACTAATATCTTAAAATTGAGAAGTATATATGGAAAATCTCATGTTATAGAAGACCATTTAAGTAATTTACTCATAAAGAGGTGAAACATCTATGCCACCTTAAAATATACTCCCTCCATCCCAAATCTCCTTCCCCCTTCTTTTTTCTTGTCCCACAAAATCCTTCCCTTTTCTATAAAAAACCACTTTTACCCCTACTAATTCTTAACCTACCTATCACATCATACCTTTTTACTAATAATCTACTCATCACATCCCCGCTTTTACCTATCAAAATTTTCTAAAAGTCAAAATGGAGGAATTGTGTGTGTGTGTGAAGCAATAGCAGCATATACCTCAGTGTCCAGACCCAAAGAGCTTCTCCTGATCACTTCCTTGAGATGTGCCCTCTCTAAAGCCTCCCACAAATCAGCATCATTGTGCTCATTGAAAGGATCAAGGTTGAATCTAACGCTACCTGGCTCAATAAAATAGAGAGAGAAGAGTACAAGGTAGAGTTTAGTCTTCATTGTGTCATGCTAAATTAGAAAATAAATTTAAAAGCAAACAAACAACATAACCAGATGAAGTCCCAAAATAAAAGTTTCCTAAATGAGTTCCATATTTTATAGTAAGCTATGTTGTATGATAGAATGCCATTGTTAAGTCCATACATCACTCTCTGCACGCAACACAGCAGACTTGGCACACAAATAGATAGCCAATCACTCTCAGTGCACACACACGAAGACCTGGCAAAGCAGATGTGTTCCAAATTTAATATTGATCTGTCACTACGGAACTGCGATTTATGTGACAAGTAATTGACCATGTGACTGCCAAAGGTGAGTGTGTCCAATATGAAGGTGCCAAGATTGGCCTTTCACTATGGAAAACAGGTCAAAAGAATACATACTAATTTGTTTCCTTAAAGAACTCCTTTTGACGTGCTGTTTTAAACGAATTAAATGTTTTTTATTTGATCTCCAAAAGCATCCTTGTAGTATGTGGTGAAGAATAATTGACAGTGATTGGGTGGGATATTAAATGAGGATAGTAAAGTAAGGTTTCTTTACTTTTACCAAAGGAAAGCAGATTTTATTTATAGATAAAACCAAAAAAAAGGAAAACAAGAACTTTACTTAGGGATGAAGGAGTGTATAAGAGTCATGAGTCAATATTGTTAGAGCCCTAACTAGCATACCAAATGTGGTGCAATTGTTCGCAATGATAGCTTGTCATTTATATTTACTTTATTGTACAGTTACAAGTTCATTCCATTTTTATCCTTCTCTGTTCGTTGTTCACCTCTCTATGTTAACTGTTGTTAGAATATATGTAGTAAAACCTTTCTTCGGTTTCAAGCTGCAAGATTAAGCTTTGGGTTTAGTTAATTCCTTGACATGGTATCAAAAACCTCATTGATGTGATGGTCAGGAGTTCAAATCTCACTAGTACTCACTATATAAAAATTAATGTTCACGTGCAAGGCTTAAACAAACAAATTTCACATGCACCTGAGAACTGAGAAGACGTGTTAACTGTTAGGTATAAATGCTTTTATGGACCTCCAACCACAAGCTCAAGCTTTTGGTTGAATTGATTCCTTGATAACTGCCAATAATGTTGGGATTCTAACAAAATAAAAACTATTTTCGTAACTCTTTGCAATGCTAGCTTGTATATCCTATTTAAAGTCATAATTTAAAAGTTCTCCCTTCATCCCACTCCTTGTGTGTGTGTGTGTGTGTGCACACCAAACATTTATTTTCTGTTCTTTTTTCACATGTTTTAAATTGTGCAAAGCATGCACTGATGCACCTATATCATGTTAACAAAATAGGGCAACAATTTCAAAAGGAAAAGGGTATGACAAAACAATGCATGCATTACGTGTTACAAAATACATGTGGCCTGTGTGATAATCTTTGATCAAAATGTGATGTGATGCGGTGATAAATAAGATCCTACCAATACCATGTGTGTCTATGCAACACTTTTATGCAAGTATATTTGTACCTACACTTTTAGTATGTCTTTAAAAAACCTAAACCAGAAAGGAACAAGACCAAACAGGTATCTCTTCTGTCTTCCCTTCCTTTCTTAGTGATTATTTATACAGCCAGATAAAAAATATGGGTGTACCTGAGAACAAAACAGGTGATTGTGGTATTATACCAAGAACCTTACGGAGGTCCATCAATCCTAACTTTGAAACATCACAATCATCAATAATGATCCTTCCTCTTTCCAGTTCCACAAGTCTGAATAAAGCATTAAACATGCTGGATTTCCCTGCTCCTGTTCTCCCTACTACCCCAACCTTGTCACTTGGTCGAATAGTGAATGATATACCATGCAGAACGGGAGGAAGTTCAGGTCTATAACGTAAGACAACATTTTCAAATCTAATGGATCCAGCTGAGGGCCATCCCGGCGGAGGGCGATTGCCCTCAATAATTGGAGGTGCTTCAGAAGGCAATTCTATATATGTTCCAACTCTCTCTACAGCATTCAAACTATTCTCAGCCATACTAGCCAGTCTTAGAACACCAGTTAGTAAGCTTGTAATGTTCAATGCATAACTGAGAAGCAAACCCATAGTAGAGGCAAAAGCCATTTGATTCTCTGCTCTGCCATTCTGCATCACAGCAAATGTTGCTGTGAGCCAAATCATAAGCCCCCCCAAAGTCTCCAGACGAATTGCAAGCCAACGGTTTCCACTCATGTTTACAAGAGTGAATCTAATGTTGTTATCCATGGATTTCCCGTTAATGTTAGCCATGCGATCATAAGCCTTATAAGCACGTATAGTTGGTAGACCATTCAGTGCTTCTCCAAATTGTGCATATACAGGAGATCTGGAAATGGAATCCAAGCGTTTTACCTCACGGGCAGTGCTCTGTAAAAAATGTTCGTATATATTAATCATGATAAATGGAAGTACAGGAATACTGAAGGCATCATGAATGAAGCTGGACAATGGAGTGAATGGACAAAGTAACTAATTGCAGTTCCCACTTTTAAATGTACATGTTAGATCGAAGTAATACTATCCTACTATCAGAAAACTAATCATCATTCTGAAGGAAAAGAATTTATACTTGAAATCAGGTTCTTCAGTAAGAGAAATGCATCTTTATGACAAAACTAAATTTGTTTCAAGTTCTACCAAGAGCCTTAGAATCCTGATATAGACAGAAACATATAAAAAACACATCGTAATAATCATGAGTAAATGTTAAGGGAGGACACAATATGATGTCCGGATAAATGAATCTTCATGGATATCCTCTATTAAATATGGTGTCTCATTGAATGACATCGCAATAGACACACTTCATCTCACCCTTTCTAACTGCATTGCCTCTCGTATATTATGTTTTCAAAACCTAAACTGTGGCATTGGGATCTATAAGCATACTACCATAACATAAGTCGAATGATTATACACATAGCAAGGAATTTCAAGTTTGAAAACAAAGCTGTGGAGATACAAGTGTCACATATCACATGGACCAATGTACTTAAGTTCAATTACATCACAAAAGTCGAATGATTATACACATAGCAAGGAATTTCAAGTTTGAAAAAAAAGCTGTGGAGATACAAGTGTCACATATCACATGGACCAATGTACTTAAGTTCAATTATATCATAGTGGCTAATTAGAAGATTGATGTGCAATGAATTTTTTTAACACATCATACGACAACAACAACAACAACAAACCCATTATAATCCCAACTTTATCTGGGGTGTGGAGGGTCAACATGTACATAATTTTACCCTTGAAAACAACAAATAGCCTTTAAATCCAGCACATCATGAGATGCATAAAAAAGAAATGCCGAAAACCATGTATGAAGATAACATACCTGATAGTAAAGGTAAGCACCATAAAATAAGACCAGGAGTGGCATTATGGCCCATAAAGACATTGTACTAACTATACCAATTAGCACAAATGTTGAAATAAGTTGGGAAACTTGGTTCATGAACATATTCACAAATGGTGCCACATTCCGGTCTATGTCCCCTAGGTCCTTAGCAAACCTATTGATAATCCTCCCAAGTGGATTCGTATGAAAGAAGACCATTGGAGCTCTTAAAATAGAGTTCAACATGGCAGAATGTAACCTTCTAGCCGCATAAAGGCTTGATGTGATCAGCCAAAATGAATTGGTAAGTGTTACCAACACCTGAAATGTCGATAAACTACTTAGACAATTGCTTTTCCAATTATTATTTCAACCCTATGCAATTATTTTCACCAAGTGCATCAGGATAACAGTCTCTATCAGAATACAAGCAATATAATAACACATCTTAAATTAGTAAAAAAGAAATATCAAGCAATAATAATGTAGAAATCTTAAATAATCATACTTGACCAAATGATAGAACTGCATAGATCATATTGTAGAAAGTGGCACTATATCTCATTGAGCTGCTTTCATCAGTCCAAAAGCTTAACCATGTACTGCTTCCAATTCGAAGAGACTCAGTTGAGACGTAGCACATCAACAGGATCATAACTACCCATGCACCTCCTAGAGCATCCTTATACCTACAAAATGATGTTTGAAGTCGTTATCATAAAAAGATATCCTAAATAATCATTGTAAAAAGTTATCAACTTCTCAGAAGAAAAAAACTCATAACCAACAAGATCGAGCACATATCATAATGTATGAACGGAAGAAAGCATTCACATGGTTAAATATATGACCAAGTTTTTTTTATGAAGTTACTGCTTTGGAAATGCTTAGGCCTTAGAAGTCCCTATTTTCAAGTGAGTAGTGGCTTTGAGCCACTACTCACTCTAAGTAACAACATTAAGGCAAGAATTAGAGTGAAGCTGTCAATGTTCAAAAATAAGGTACTCCGTATTTGTAAAGTTATATTTTTAAGTTAGGAACATTTCTAGAAATAACTTTTAGTTTACTAACAAAATGATAAGTACACAACTATTAGCATTATATGAGTCATTGTGTAATTCCTTCATAATAAAAAATTAAGGCAGGAAAATTATGACTTCAATTACATCTTAGTATGCATCCACTTATTTGATTCTCAGCTTATTGGAGATTATCTGCTTTGAAAATCATAAGCTAAACCCAGCACTAAACAGAACTTGCACAAGGCAAGGCTTTTTATGCAGGCTAAAGGCAAAATATGTGTACATTGCCGATGGAGCTAAAAGAGTCATTTTTTACAGTATTTTAGCTTTGGGTAAATAATAGACTAAATCAAATTAATACATTAAACCTCTCTTGCTTCTTACTTTCCATGGAATTTTGGGCATTAAATATATTAATGCATCAAGGGTCTAAAGGAAACACTCTCTCTATTTTTAATGAGTAAGTTTGTGTACATCTTGACCTGACCCGGCCCAGATCCCAACAGAGTTGGGGTTACACTAGTTTTATTGTTTTTTTAATCCGCAAAAATGACTTTTGGAAGAGGTTTTAATTCTAATTCAAATTTAATATGCAATTGTTCAAAAGTTTGAAATATTTTCAAGAATTTCAAATTTTTAACACGTTCCTAAACTTCCCAAATTCTTAACATCTTCCTAAATTCCCAAGTTTTCACAGGGATCTTCACGGAAAAGGCTATCTACTCCTAAGGGTAGAAGTCTGGAAACACGTGATTATAAGAACAAACTTGCTCACATAAAAAGATATAAACTCTACCTGTTCAAAACTTTCCAACTGACAACACCTGTTTCCCGTTCTTCCTGTTTAATAAGAACAGATTTGCCTTCTTTTCGGTCCTTTTTCTTCTCTGCATCTCTGGAATTGATCTCACCATTAGCAGCAGGATTTAAGGTTTTCTCGTCAACGTTCACAATTTCCTTTTCATCTGCATATTCCTCCATCTTTCCAGCATTTTCCATCAGTTTTTGGAATAGGTCACCGTTATTTGAGAGATATTCAAAGGTTCCTTCCTCTTTCACCATACCATCTTGCACCAATACAATTTTGTCAACCTGTGAAAGAAAATGCAGCTGGTTTGTGACCAAAACTCTGGTCTTTCCTCTTAATTCTCCTCGAATGCACTTCTCAAAAACCTGGCAATGAGAATACTAGTCATACATACACTACTAAATTTCAAATACAAAGTAGTAGCACTTAAGTGGAGCAGAACCTTCAATACAATAATTTCATTGCTGAAAACAACTATGTAGACAGTATGTAAGAAAGATAATTTCTTTTAGTCCTAATACTATATTGCTATTAACTATGTTGTATTCAAACACACCTATTAATTTGGATGAGAATGGTTCCAAACAATTTAAAGCTGTACGAAAAGGATCTTGATCAAGTTACCCTATAAGAAATGTTGGTATGGCAAAGGCAGAACCTAGTGATAGCAAGTCACTATTCTATTAAGATACTACCCTGTTGTAACACAGTTAGGTGCTCACCTTTCTGAAAGACAACAGGGTTATTCACTGTTCTCTCCTCTGTGGAACAGAAAGTGGTAACCTTACTAGAACAGAAGAGTAGCCTACCACTATCAAAAAGATCAGGAGGTCACGGTCCTGCTATAGGAACAGAACGGTAGAGACTAAGAAGAATATTGAAAAGTAAAACGTGTGTGCAATAGAACCCAAGATAGACGAGGAAAATTAAGGAAAGAAAATCTTAATCAAATTATGAAATCGGTATCTAACTCCATAAAATAATAAAGATGAAGGAAAATCTTTATCACAATATGAGTAAGAATCTTAAACTCACACTCCCTCCATCCCACAGTCCAGTATTCCTTTTTGGGTTGTCACAGAGTATATGTCCACTTTCCTTTAAAGCAACATAAAAGGAATGACAAATCTATTATACCCTTCTACATAACCTCTCACCGTCTCTGCCCCATTACTCTCTCTCTCTCTCTCTCTCTCTCAATTTTGTTAACTTCTTTGATTTAAAGATAGTAGAAGCTTTTGGAGATGGAATTTCATCTTCCACTCTATCTACTTTGTTCTCTTCCCTTGGAGAACAAATTAAGGTAGTGTTTGGGAACTCACAATCTCACATTTCATTTCAATTCTTGCATTTCAATTCCAAAATTTGAATTCTTGAATTTCAAATGACAAGAGAGGCATATGGATTTCAGATTGAGTTTTGATATGAATTAGAGGAATTTGCCTCAAATCCAAATCCAAATTTCTTAAGGTTCCCAAACATGAGATTTGAGCCAAATCTAGGTTTGAAATCCAAATCCAAGTTCCCAACATACCATAAGGGAATTCCAGGATATCAGGTTCTGGCAAATAGATTCATCTTCAACCCTCTCTAATTCAGTCGCTGACATGTAGTGTTTTCATACCTTTCTTTTTTATTTGTGTTTGCTGATTTTAAAACTGAGAGTGGTGCAGGATATTACTGAGTTAGGCAGTGGCACG